AGAGAGGGGCTAAGCTGCTCAAAGGCAATTCTTCAACGCAAGGAGTCATTTGTTTTCAGGTTTTCCGATAGGGATGGAACATCGAATTGGCCAGCACTCCATGTTGAGCCCGACATGTCTTTGTAGCTGTTGATTCTTACTGCGGCTCCGTAAATCAAGACTACGAAATGACCCTCCGAAATGCTTGGTTTGCCTGGGTCCGCTTCTTTAACAGGGGGTCCCTGTAGTTCCCCTTTTGACGGCTTTAAGCATCACCTTTGGGCCTAAGCATCACCTGTAGTTTCCTCTTGGTGGGGTGATTATTTCAGGGTAAAATTCGGGAGCCCTGCTTGAGACCCATGAGTGACAAAGCTCCCAGTGCAGTCCTCCCTGGGAAGACTCTCGAGGCTAGCGAAGGTGAGGTTTGCGAGTCTGCGCCCGCCCTCGTGATTCCTTAGCAAAGGCTTGGGGTAGACCGTTGTTCTATGGGGGCCCTGTTTTCCCCGCTTCAGATTTGCTTGTTGACCTGTATTTTACTTGTCAGCCCAAGCAGCTTGGGACGCGACAACAGCAGCTCCCCCCCCAGATATCGCTTGCTCGGCAGAGGACCCGGCTCTCCGCATGGTGGCGGAGCGTCTCTGCGAGGCCCGAGAGTCGAGAACAACGTCGGATCAACAGATGGATCAACTTCTGGTCGATTGATAGGCCTACATTCCTGTTGGGGGCGTGTCTTTTTCCCCCCAAATGGTGGTTAGCCGCTTGGTTTCACGCACTTGGCCTTCGGTTTTTTTGGTGAGGTGGGTTTGTGGAGGGCCATATGACAGCTTGCGATTGTGGTTCGAGGTATACTACCCTTCTCAACGCGAAGACGCACCACTGCGACAAATTATGCGGTGGGTTCACAGCCTGTTTCCTTTCGAGCTGGGCTTTAGTCACTTTTGGGGTTTTGAACCAAACATGACTTCAATAGCAAACCCAAGTATAGTTATCTACAAGAGTTACTCCTCCACATCAAGTCACAGTTTGCAGATTATAGGAGTTTCAGTCAACTTTCTGTGACACCAAGGGAATCCCCTTCAAGTGCTAAGAGTATGCATGTGAATGACTTATATGGATATCTCACTCAAATGGGCGTCTCAGAAAGGCATATCTGCCCCAACCATGTATCCCAGTATTCAACCTGTTTGCAGAGATCCAGGGAAGACTATTTTCACACGACAAGTTTTCACAAACATGTTTCAGGGATTTGGAGGGGACTGCAAACTCAGATGCCCAAAGCCAATCGATCCGAACTGGCGTTCCCGTCCTGATCTACTTCTAGCCTCGGCCCCACAATGCGATTTCCTTTTTCTTGGGTCCTTTGGTTGCAAGCGAGGAAAAAGGTGCCTCGGAGGTTTCCTTATCAAATCGGCTCATTCCAAACCCAGCCTTTCCCACGTGTTGTCCTCCCGACTTGTTGCACAAAGTTCGAGGCTTTTGCTGGGGTCTTAGAATCGTTCACCCCCAAAACACGGCTGGCTTACTTTTGGGTTTCCCTTTGAAAATCCAAAGCGAGGTTTCCAACCAAAGAAGGCTGCCGAGGTTTTCTCGGAGCTTCTCGGGATTCATGTTCCAAGTCCCCCCCCCTCTCACTTTCCAACAGGTAGGGCATCGTGCCCACTTTGACCAAAGCCTTGCGTAGGCCCTGACCTCTTACCTCAACAAGAAGGGCATCCAATGCTCCACCATCGCCGGGTGGTATCGCTTCTTCTCGGAGATCGCCGGGCCCTGAGATGGTCAGACCGATTCAATTGGCAGACTTCGTGGGGGTGTCTACTGCGCATCTTTCTAGGGGTTGATTCAACCACACTGAGGTCAGAAGGGTTTGGCCAAGCTTCTAGGGCTTGATTCCTGTACCGTTCTCTTCAACCATCGTCCTTTTGAAAAGCCGATCCCCGGTTTCACCTTCCGAGGTGTTTCTAGAAGGATCCCTGGACAAAATGGAAGGTACCCTTAAGAATCTTCCCTTTGGCTTGCCCAGGGTCTTTGTTGAAACGCACACCGCAGATCATTTCAGAGTGAAAGAAGGACTCGAAGAGTCAATTGAAGGCCTCCCTTCACATTTTGTTTCGAGTGATGCTGGGATATCGTGCCTGGGACATGTGCGGGGAGCACCATGCTCGCCTGAAAGAGGGCCACACGGCCTATATATATATATATATATCTCCGTTTGGGCAACCCGCTGGTGCAAGAGGAAGCAGCACAAGGAGAAGTACGCCTCAAATGAAGCACAAGGAAAGGACACCTATGATTGTGAATTGTCCCAAAGGAAACCATATTTTCCAGACATCCAATGTCTGGGAACTGGGCAATGGGAGAAAAGCTGAAGGACAATTCAGCCTTGGTTTGGCAGCACATGAGCGTGTCATTTTTTTTTGGGGGGGAACCCCCTTTTGGTGGGTTTAAATGGGAAACCAGAAGGACACCAACCCCTGTTTGGGTTCCCCGATGTTGGAGACAAACCCATATTTGTCAGAAATTCCCTTGCTTCAAACACTGGTTGAATGAGCAGGCACCCTCTCCCGCTTCCCTTGTTTTTGGGAATGAACGGTTTGGGACATCCCCAGAAATGGTTTGCGGGGATCATTCCCATGGGTGCTCCCAGCTTTCTTGTTGGGTGGTTTGCTGAGGGTACCCTATTTAGGGATCTTTCCAGAACAGAACCCTCTACTTGAGAGGTATGTGTGTGTGTGTGTGTGTGTGTGTTTTTTTTCCCGGGGACCCCACTTTGGACACATACCCGTTGGGCGCTTTCTGATGGAGGATGCGGACAACAGCGGGCGCGCCACCTTTGCCGAGCTTGAGGATGCCTTCAATCGTTGCTTGCGCCAGGGGCCTCGCTTGGGAGAAAGAGAGGACAAGGAAATAAATCTAGCCAAACAAAGAAAACCAACAAAAAGTAACCAAGGAAGCAAGCAATCAAGCAAGCAAACAGAACACAACAAGCAACAGAACAACACAAGCAAAAAAAAAAAGACAAGCAAGCAAGCAAGCAAGCAAGCAAGCAAGCAATCAAGCAATCAAACAATCAAGCAAACAAGATACAAAACGAAGAGAAACGACGCCCAGCTCCATTCCATGGGACCTGGTTCTATATGTTTAGCATTGCCTTTCTGTTAATCGTTTTGTGCTGGGGCCCTTTCTTCAGGCAGCCCCCATAATAGGCAACAGGGTTTGCATTTCCACGGGCACTATGATAACTATGGAAGGCCTCTTGCAAACGGAACAACTGGAGGCTTAGTATCCCCGGATATCTCCGGAAACCCGAAACCCGTGTTGAACCATGTAATTTTTCGCGCCCCATGGGATTGACCCCGGGTTTTGCGAGAACATATTCAAGGCGACATTTGTTGCAAGGATTCGGCCTTGAGAATCTTTGGCTTGGATTCACTCACTTGCCCAAAGCGAATCGACCGGATCTGACCTTGGGGTTTCCCATGTCTTGGTCCGTGGCCCCCAAGAGATGAAGCTGTTTCCAGATCCTTTGGGGTGAGTTCCACCAGGCCCAAAGTAACAGCCCGGAAGAGGCCTAGACCGGGGGGGTTCGGTGAGTCTCACTGCTGGACTTTCTTGCAGCCCTCGCGAGATGAAGCCAGTTGAGTCCATCCCAAGACTTGGACTTTGCGGCAAATTTCTTTGTTGCGAACCAAAAGTTCGGAGTGTTTCACTGTAGACTGTGCCTACTGGACAAATCCGTTTCGCACCAGTTGGTGGTAGGTGGTTTGTCCCCTTCTCCATGGGGTTTTATGTCATTCCAACGGAACTGGTTCAGGATTTGGTCCACAGCATCTGCGAGGCGTCCCTTCGTCCCTAGGGCCAATGGTAGCCGAGGCAGCGCCCGGGTGTCGCGATACGAGCTGCTGATGCTTTGGCGCCGGCTTGATGCCGATGGAAGTGGCGAGGCCGTTGATTCAAGCCAGGGAGGAGGTGCCAACTTTGGACAACGATGTAAACTGTGTTTGGTTTGTTCGTGTTTGCGTTGGACAGCCTAAACCCGAAATTCAATTTTGGTCGTTGAACGGAATTTTGCCCCGTCTGCGTTGGACACCCTATGTCATCCCAAATGTGGGCCAAATGATTAGTTTGTGCGCTTTCTTAGCACCAGCCCGGCTGCTCAATAGCAGATTCATCGAAGACAGGTCGCTTTGTACAGATCCTGTGATTTCAGGGCGTCAAATCAAGGTAATCTGAGCAAGCATCGGTTGGCCCAGAGAATAGAGGAGACTGGTTTTGTTTTTTCAGGTACATTTTCAGGTGGGCTGAAAGGGAGTTCCAGTATGGCTAACCAGAAGAGACGTCCCCCTTGTGCTATGCTTCAGTCTGCTTACCCAGAAACCGCATTTGCCATCAGAGCAATATCATGTCCGGGGTCCCTTTGGACAATATGTTACTTTTGAGGCGCACACATGGACCACAATCAACAAAAACTTTTTTGTGGGGCAGCAGCTGAGATGGACGTCTTCGGCATGTTTTCTTGATTCATTGATATCACGTCGAACTTGGCCAGCCAGTTTTCAGCTCAAATGGCGAAATCACGGCGCCCGCTTTGCGCCTTCGTGGCCCTCGCAGCCTTCGGCGGTTGGACGTTCGTGGGGCCCAGCCCGGCGACGCCTCGCGCGGCGCCACGGCCGGCGCTGGCCACAGCGGTGGCCCCAGCCGTGGACGACGCTTGGACGGCGCTGAAGGAGACTCCTTTGCGCCGAGCGTCGGATGGCAAGGAGGTGGCGTTGACCAGCTTGTGGCAGGAGAACGAGAAGGTGAGGGGTGGAGTTGGCTGCGTGATGCGTGTTGTGAGTGGCTGTTTGAAGATCGAGGAGTTGCGCTCACCTTGAATTTGTGCGACTTGTGATTTTCGAGATCTCTCTTCGGATGAATTAGGGAGGTGTTCCCCAGCACAAGTGATCCGGATTCTCACTCAAAGGGACACTCCATCTCTCAAAGTCAACCAGGTGGTGGTGGCATTCTTGCGCCACTTCGGCTGAATGGCATGCTGGGAGCTGGGAATCCAACTGAAGCGGGATTGGCTCCCGAAAGCTGAGAAGGAGAAGGTGAAGCTCTTGGTGGTGGGAGCCTTGGCTGGGTTAAGGTGAGTCCAATGACCTGCTTGTTACATTGGGACTAACACAGAACCCAGCAGAGGGTCTCGTTTAAAGGAAATAGTGTTCCAGGACCCCTCAGTTTGGTGCCATGTTAGTGTTTCGGAGGGTGTACGTTCTTTTGACAGTTGCTGGCGTGATCGAAGACGTGAGAGACATAGTTTTCATAACTGCTGCAGAATGCCTGCTTTCATCCACTTGCACATTTGCATGAACGTGTTGAACCAGTGTTTTAGCCCGGCTCATCCCATAGTAACTCAAGTTGGTCAAAGGAGTGCTACAGTATTCCACAGTTGTCAATGTCGGAGGTCGATCAATGAACCAAGCAACCAACACACCAATCAGAAACTCAATCAACCCCAGTCAATCACTCGACCGCCCAAGCGACCAAAGTTAAGGTTTTGGGGGGTCAAAGGTCCTATTTGGACATGTGTCAAAAGAGGGATTTGCACCCCCAAGATGGTGGGCTGCCAGTTGTTCCTTTTAAACCAATCCAAAAAAAGGTTGCTTTTTCTCCAAGAAATAGCTGTCCCCTTTAAACCAACCCCAAAAAAAGGGTCCACCCCCCGAAAGAAACGCGCGTCCCATGGGGACCCCATGGCGGCCTTTCAACCGACGCAGGCATCGGCACCGCGGAGAGCGCCAAGGAGTTCGCGCAGCAGGTGGGTCTTGCGCCTGAGATGGTCTTCGGGGATGAGGAGGCGGCAGCCTACCAGAGCCGCTGGGCGAAAAACGAGGTTCTGCAGTAGTGCCCTTTCTCACCCCTTTTTTGGGGGGAGGTTCCCCTACTGAAATAGACTGCAGAGAAAAGGGTACCTTTATTCTAACCCCTCTACTGGAGGACCTAGAAAATATGTCAGTCGAATGGATTCCGGATTCTGTTTTGGTATTCAAAGGGAGACCCTTAAGGGAAACCAGCTGTTTTGGGGTACAAAGTTTCTCCATTGGTTTTGGTGTGGGTCAATAGTTGATACATCTTTTCGCAACTGGCAGGCTATAAGTTTGCAGAATGGTCCTAGTCGCAGATCTTTCAGATCTTGATTGATGCAGTTGGTGTGCTAGGTTGATTGATGCGCCGGGAGTCTAAGCAAGGCAAAGTCGCTGTATTCCTCTTCAACCAGTCTCGGACGTGGACCAGATGAAGGTTGCCCTGTTTTGGTTTTGAGATGGTAGCTTTGCAAAAGCCCTTTGTCCACTTCCAGAACTGTTGAAAAGCAGGTGCTGCCTTTGACTTGAGTGTAGAATCGTCCTTCCTCACATATCCTGAGCTGTCCTCAGGCGAGCGCTACTGAGGGAAGAAACACTTCCATGTACATCAACTTCAGAGTCACCGCAGAATTGCCTACGAACCAAATTAATATTGATTTGAGATTTCGCCACTATTCGAATCACCATCCTCCACGGCTTTGATGTTCAACGTTAACCTCGCACGGGACGCGGGTAGCTGGGTGCACTTTTCAATACCTTTGGTTTATTGCAACGAATCTCCACAACAGCCGGGAAGCTGTGGCATGGTTTGGAGTAGCCGTCAATCAATCACATTGTGTGCTCCACTGTTGGCAAACGGAAGTGGTTGGATCAGGATCGAACATGTTCCCAAAGGAACAAGATGTCCCTTGCAAGAGCGACGTTTCTTTGGGCCGCAACTTGGCGCAAACTCTGACTTCCGGCGAGGCATTCGCTTTGTGAACTCCGACTTCGAGGAGGACGAAGCTGACATGAGTCGACTGAGCGCAATGAACTACCTGGAGTCTCCATGAGCCTTAAAAAATGGGGTCATTACCCAAAATTAAGGGGTCATGGACCCATGTTTTAAGGGTCATGGAGACTCTAGGTATGTGATTTGGTGCTGATTCCATCCCCGATCTCAAAAAGTGCTTTGTAGCTCAACGATTGATTCTTTTTCACAAGTCGTGATGCTGGTTTTGCTGTTCATCCCTCCTTTTGGCTCGGCTTTTTTCAGATCCGTTGCCAGGACGGCCGGCAGCGGGGCATGCGCATGATGACGCAGAAGACGGCGGATGCCGTGCGGAGCCGTGCCAACGGCCGGCCCGTGAGCTTCTTTGGGCTCTTCGACGTGCCCTTCTTGCGACCTGGAAAGAGGAGGTTCTGAGGGCGGTCTCGTCGATTCATTCCATTTCCCTGAGGGTTTATGGGAGAGGGAGCTATGTGGGGCTTATTCGGTGCTTGTCCTTGGCTTATCCTTGGCCCATCTCTAGCTAAACCTGGGGTCTCCACCATGCTTTTTAGTATCTTGAAGGTGACTGGAGCGACTAGATATATGGAAACAGAACCTGAACATGTCGGTCCTGGAGATTCCAATGCTGAGGAATTCCTAGGCGTTCTGGTTCTCAAGGCGTTTTAGGCGTTTTAGGTGTTTTGCATTTTTGTTGCGCTGTTTTGCGGGCGTTTGCCCTTTTTTGCGGGCGTTGGGCGGCAATTTGCGGGCGTTTGTTTCTAGGCGTTTGCGGGTGTTTGCGTCCAAAACAGGGTCAATGCCGAGAATGACTAGGAATTCCTTGACGTTTGAATCTGCAGGGTTTTGGTATCCTCCCGAGTTCGGCCCAGCTCGTAGACCTCCCAGGGGGGCAAGGGGGCGGCCATCCACGGTTCAACCCTGTCTCACACGGAATTGTAGCAACAGCAAACCCGCCTCCACTTTGAACTTGACGAATCCCCGAAGATCAGACGCGTGCAAGTCCATGACTGGTCCGGATCTAGATTTGATTCCCCCCCGGGTTCTTGGCTTTCTTTGATCCCATTGATCTAGCGATCTCCGTTTCAGCTCAAGTGTTTAACCAAACTTGCCATGATTTCATCTCCAGATCCCTCATCCCTCACCAGGAATGGTTGCTTCCATGTTTGGTTTTCGATGGTGCAACGTAGTGATGCTTACTGCCAGTACTCTAGGGGTTGATTCCTCATTTTTTTTCAACCATCGTTCTTTTCAAAAACCGCCCGTTTCCAACCTGGGATTTTGATTTCCTGAAAATCTCTGGAAAGAATGGAAATGGAAGTTACCGCCAGAAGAAGGCCCTTATTTTTAGGGCTTCTTTGGGGCTCCCTCCCCCTCCCCTCCCCTCCCCTCCCTCTCCCTCCCCTCCCTCCCCTCCCTCCCCTCCCTCCCCTCCCTCCCCTCCCTCCCCTCCCTCCCCATCCCTCCCCATCCCTCGCCCCCAGCGCCCAGCCATGACAAACGGATCGATGGCCTGGCTGCTGGCGACCCAGTACCCAAGTACCCAGTACCCAAGGATGACCAACGACGACTTGGAGACGGCCAAGGAGATCTACAAGCCTTTGATGCCAGAGGGCGACAATGCCATGGACAAGACCCTGGTGCAGGGCGGCGCTTCGGCTCAAGCGTCAGGCATTGTTTTTTTGTTGGTGTTTCGTTCTATTTTCGGAGGGGCTCTTGGGTTGCTACTTTCTGTGTCACCAACCGAATTCCCTTTGAGGTAACCAAGTAGTGGTAGAAATGCCTCACTTTGGTATCACGTATTTCGGGTTACTTCCCACGATGGAGGTGTTGAGGTCTCGGGGTGGTCACGGAGTTGGTTGAGAAAAAGAGTCACAGTGTTACGGCACTTTGACTTTGGTTGCCTGTGGTGGATACACGCTTTCGACTTTCGTTAAAGTTGGTTTATGATGCGATGCTTGAAGGCTACATGCTACTAGGTCTTTTTTGGGGGAGGGTTCCCCTACTAAAATAGACTGCAGAACAAGGGTACCCCTATTCTAGCCTCTCTACTGGAGGACCTAGCATTTATGACGAAATGCTAACTATCGTTCACGTTGCGTCACCAGTCAATGACCCGGGATCGAAAGGGTTTCGGAGCCACCTACGATGAATGCCAGCTGGACATCTTGTAGCCAACCCTAAAAGTGTCAGTGTATTGGCTACGCACTTGTTCAATCATGTTTGGGATGTATCTTAGAACATTTGCCACACGGAGGATTTGGAAGACCTGTTACTTAATGTTTATGTTCAACAGTGGCCACCAGCACCGCAGCCAATTCCTGATAGGTGTTCTGGTTTTCAACGGCCAGCAGCAGGTGTACAAGCACCGTGATACGAGTGTAGGCGTGCACGCCGAGCTGTCAAAGGTCATGGCTGCGCTGGCATAGAGCTGCGAGCTGTTCGAGAATATTTTCCAAATATAGGGGGCCCAAATTGTGGTGTTCCTGTTGGTTTCCCTTAAACAGCACAAGGAGGGGTACCCTCAAGTCACACCCGTATGATACAAACCCGATGGAATCTTGGTGCAAAGTTAGTACTTGTCGTGATCATCCTTATGCACGAGCCAGTGAACATAATTTTGCAACAACATGTTTGACACTGCTACTCTGTCAAGTATAGACTTCCATGTTGAGATGTTCGAGACACCGCCGCGATTTTCAGCAACGCGCTGTTGCTTCGTTAAACTGCATGCCCACCTGTGCAAATGTACATTCCTGGGCATTGCAACGCCCGCAGACTGGTAACACGCTGACGTGACGGGGCAAAGATGGCCGTACGCAAGCAGAGCTAGGCGCAGGACAGACATTATCCAATATGTTTGTGTTGTTGGGCGACTTGAGGATCATCAATCCAAGACTATCTAAGGTGGTGTTTCTTCCTTCGACTCAATCGATTCTCTACGCGTCGAGCACTGTGTGCCCCCTTCGGGGCATTGTGCCATGGTCAATGGACAAAAGGCTGAAGTGGTGCCACCAGTATAGAGACTTGCAAGCTTTCTTTGCTTTGCTGTTGTCCTATTGCCTACACAGTGTTCCACACAACCGTTTAATTCCACGTGGTTGCAAGAAGAGTCGAATCATGTCCATGCGTTCCCTCTTCTAATGTTGAGTTTGCACTCCTTTGAAATGGTTGAATAGTAGACCTAACCCATATTGATAATTCGGCATGTTTGACCATGGCTTATTGGAGGAGCCAGCACGGGACGTTGTGACTAGTCCCAACTTAGGGACTATGATTCGCCCGTGCCTCTCCTCTGGAGATTGCCCCCCAACGGGCCACACACAGATGCCCCGCGTGACGTCCAGTTGCGGAAGCAAAAGAGCGGCCTGCCGGGCCGGGTTTCAGGATGAACGCGTGTCGCTCTTGGCGTTTCTTCCCATGAAGCTCATGAAGACATGGATCACCATGGAAGGTTGTCGGCTGTCAATCGATGCATCACCATGGGTGTGGTGAGTGGCGACTCTTTCAATCGTACAACTTATACTTGTATCTAGGTGTTTCTCACTCGGCCTGTCTCTCATAGCACGCGCACGGCAGAAAGCAGTGCGGCGCGCTAGGTCTGTTCCCTCACAGAGGGCGCACAACGTCGTTGGCTGTGCGCACAGGTCGCTTGGCGGTAAAGGCCAGCAGAAACCGATCGAGGTTGCTGAGGGCCGGTTCGTCTATACAAACAGCCAAGCCCTGCAAAGGCATGTGGATCCGGAGACCAGAAACATCAATGCCGTGCAAGAAAGCGCCCGGAAGCGAAAAAACTTGGCACATAGCTTTCACCACACCTCTAATGAAACGAATTCTTTGAGCCAACGTCAGTTGGCCGGCCAAGGCTGGGGAGACCTCATCACTCCAGCACTCGCCGCTGTACCTTGCAGAAGGAAAAGGGTGCGGTAGCCGCGCCTGAAATGTAAGCACTGCCAGTTCAAGCCAAGAAATCTGCACAGATCGTACCGTGGGTTCACGCAGGAATTGCTGGAGCCAGAGCACGAAAGAGGCAATAAAGGCAGTACCAAATTGCCGCGCATAACTCGACTGTTGCCAGATGTGCGCCCAGTTGGGGGGCAGGCCGGAAATCCAGTCACCACCATCAAGCATGGTACGCATGACAAATGGAGGATCATCAGGATGTAGAGCACCTGGAGCTTCGCATGCCACAAGGTGCCCAGCACCTGCGATATCAAGCTGAAAGCTCCGAAAACGGTCAACGGCATCCCAAGTGGCCTGTTGGTGTTGTCGAAAAAGGTCGCGGACATGCCAAAAAGCGAGAGGGCGTTGCCGGTGAGCACCACGCGCCGCCGCATCTGCCTGATCATTCCAATATGCTGCCCAGTCTGCTGTGTCTGCAAAAATGTCAGATATCTGTGCATGACCAGGTACATGTTGAACAAGCAGCTCGCCTGAGGCAAAAAAAGAGATGGAGCGTCGAAGTTCGGCCCATAAATCTGCATGTGTGTCTGGTAGCGGAGACCGCATGCGGCGTATGAACTGTCTGACCAGATCGTGCCCCGGCTGGAAAAGCGAATCAGCCAGCGGGTGGCCATGAGGATCGCCATGAGCTCCGCGCGGTCAATAGATTGAAATAAACCTCCCAGTGGAGCTGCTGCCAACAACGTCCCATGCGTAGCCGACACAACGGCCCATGAGGCACAAGCTATGTCGGGACGATTGGGCGCAAGGCAACTGCCGTCGGTAAAGAGGTCGAAATGCTGAAGACCGCCGGGAGCGAGGTTGCTGGATAAAGTATCAGCTTGTCGATAGAGCTGATGTTGCAGATCACGAAGGTGTGGGTTTGCTGAGGGTAGCAAGCGCTCAGTGAGCGAACGTGGATGGGCATCCCAATGCTGAACCGCCCAAGAGTGTCGTGTGCGGACCGCCTCAAAGGTCGGGCAAACCAAACAGCGATGTGCCAGTGTGTCATCGGCACCACAATGAGGGCAGGCCGTGCCCTTAACAAGATCGAACTTACCCTGCACATGCCCTGTGAGGAAGGTGCCCTCACGCAGAGCATTGACCTGAGCGTGCTGAAGTGCCGTGAGATGTGCCTCATTTCTACTGGGTGGCCACTGAAGACCCACCAGCCCGTTGTAATCCTGGCGATGGGCGACCTCACGCGCAAGTCTCTGCCGCCATGCATCTTCAAGACGTACCTGGGTAGAAGGCCAAGGGTCAGTCAGAAGATCGACCGGCAGGCCGTGGTGGTCAAGCAAAACTGGTGGGGATTCCACCCGCCACCAGATGAGGTCGCATTGGTCGACAAGCTTGCTGAAAGGCCCGGAGAGCATGGAGCCGATAAAGTGCTCGTGGAAGGATTGCCACAGGTCAAGGATCCTGTGGTCCTTGTTCAGGAAACGGTGAGCGTCATGAAAGACCCTGATGAGCTGGAAGGCTCCTGGGTCTGTGGCGACATTGCCGCTGAGTAGACCAAGTCGAATGCCCGGATGGGCACCTGCCTTGGCGTGGCCAAGTGCCCGAACTGCCTTGGTGCGTAGTTGGGCGATCTCTGCCCAGGGTAGCAGCGAGATGGAGACAGCGTGCAACGCTTTGGGCCAGAAGGCCTGTCGTAGTATGAGCTGCTTGATCGCCGTGGGCGATGAAGAACGCCGCAGCTTGGGCCAAAGCGGCTCCAAAGAGTCCAGTCGTGCCCGGAGAGAGCCAAGAGCACGTGAACGGCAAAAGGTGAGCGCACCTCCAAGGTCGGCATGTGCAAGCTCGACACGGTGACCGAGCTGTCGTAAGAAGGAGCGGTCCTTTCCATTGGTGGCCCAGTAGTAAGTCTTCTCGGGATCCAGGCAAAGGGCCCAAAGATTGTAGAACTCCTCCATGACCAGTTGACCGCGCAGCAGGGAGCCTACGTCCCGGGCAAGCAACTCGAGGTTATCCACATAGGACGACGGTATGGTGCTTGGAGCAAATGCCGACTGATAGGCATCCCAGATCCAGTCGATGATGCACATGCACACAACCGAGAGGGAGCATCCCTCAGGAAACCCGCTGTTCGAGGTGATCTCCGTGCTGAGATGATCCTGCACAAGGAAGTGCCGCTGAACTTGCTGCAAAAAGGCCTGCCAGGCGCCCAGAACCCGAGGTGGAAAGCCAAGAGCAGTGGCAGTCTGGAAGAAGACTTCACGACGTATATGCTCGAAGGCTTTGCGGATGTCGGTGGTGCAGCCGCAAATGGAAAGTTGCTGTTGCAGAGCACATTCAAGGAGAGCCTGGGTGTAATACCAGAAATCACCAGTCTCCCGGCCAGGGATGAAGCCGAGGATGCCACGTGGGAGCACCTGACTGAGCTGCTGGAGCAGACATCCTGAGCGAAGGGAGCCCCAGCAACGATAGATCATTGAGAAGACCACTATGGGTCGGTAGTGTGAAATGACGGTAGCCGCATCGTGCTTGGGGAGGGGATGGATGAACCCCTTGAGTAGTTGCTGGGGCCAAGAGGCCCCGGATTCAATGTGCGTCAGGAGCTGTAGTAGTTGGCGCTTGAAAGAGGCAGGCATCAGCCCGAGATCAAGATGGTCGAAGCCGTCTGGGCCGCGTGCTGATCTGGCTGCAAACTTCTTGGTGCCGAGTTCCCATGCTTCAACTGCCAGGTCGGGGCATGAAAAGGTGTGCCGGGGCAGGTAAGCACGAGCAAATGCCAGGACCCGCTGCCAGGTGCCAGGATCCGGTGGATGATCCAAATTCCATCGGGCGGACCAATACTGTTGCAGGTGGATTGCCAGTTCGGAAGGGTCAGAGACGACCCGCTCATAACGAAGTTGTTGACCTGGACAGAGCAGGAGGTCAGAGTCAACCTGGTAGGTGAAAGGAGACAGCCGTGTGACTCGTGCTGGAGAGTCCTCAAGGAGCCATTGGCCTGAGTTGTCCTCCTGCAGATCGTGGTCAAGAGCAACATGATGGGTGCGAGGATCAACGTCGGTGATAGTGGCCTCGTCTGCGAGCAGAAGTGGTCAGCGGCTGTCGCTCTGCTTTAGTCACATCCTGAAAAGCCTCGCGGATGTGCTCCTGACGCCTGGCCTTGAGAAGCGAGCAGCGCTGACGTATGCTCCAAGACTCGAAGGAGCGGTAATTGGCCTCGAAATCCCACCGTAGGGTTTGCAGCTGTCCAATGTGAGGCAGAAGCCTAGGGAAGTCTGTACCGGCACCCATGGTCTGAACCGGCCGGGTTCGCCACCAGAACGTGAATTCTGCGTCGAAGCCCTTAGCCTCCTTGATGGCCTGCCAGGTGAGAAGCCTGTATTCGATGGCTGTTGGAGTTGTACTGTTGCGCTGTAAATTGTGGTACAGTGACTGAAAGCGCCTGAGCTGGGTGAACCAACGGTGATGAGTCCGACCCAAGAAGTCGGAAGCAGGAAGGGCTTCACCCGATCGGCTAGGCCGTAGCCGGGGTGGTTGGGCCGGTCGTAATTGTGGGGCAGAGGCCTGCCCGCGGCCTCGGTAGGAGGGTGGAAGTCGTCCCGCAAAGTTGTGCTGTAAATGTGGTCCCAGACTAGCTTCGTAGTCCCGTCCGAATTGAGCATAGAAAGAGGTGGTTGTGCCGCGCCAAGAGGCAAGGTCGTGAGGTTGGTAGTCCGTATGCTGCCATGAAGCAGTATCCAGGCTGGACCATGGAATTTTGGCCGGTAAAGGCCAGTGCAGTTGGGCAGGCAGCTGGGTTGGTATATCAAACCATCCAGAGACTGTGGAGTGGTCGGCGAAGCTGTCGTGTACTTCGGCACGTTGGAAGTACTGGCGGAGTTCGGGCGAAATGTAGATTCGGTCTGGTCGTGTAGCGCCCTTGCAGGTCGGCAGAATGTCCTCCTGCGTCAAGGAGTGATGAAGGTTTTGGACTTCTGTCCATCCCAGGTTGGCCCACTCTTCGAATTCCGGAAAGTCTTCGCCGTTGAAATCTCCAGAAACATATCGAAGGCCACTGCGCCCATAAACCAGCTCCACAGAGATCTGCTGAAGGAGGTTGCGCGTGGCTTCTCGTGCACGAGGCCAAGTGGGACCAGTTGGCCAGCCATAAACGACTGTGCCGGTGATGTGAGTGTGTCCCAAGTTGAAAGAGGCAACCTGAACCCGGCCAAGCGAGTATTCCGAGTCAGGAAAAGGCACTTGCAGCCTGTACATCGGCATGTCTCCCATCTGATAGACACCAGCCCAGGTGCCAGTCGTGAGACTCCGGGCCCGGAGTGGAACAGGGGCGCCCGGAAGGAGCCAAAGCCGTCGCTGCTGTTGTGAGGCAATGTGCCGAAAGGTTTGGCAGCAAGCCTTGATCCCCGGCTGTGCCAAATGCGTCTCAGCGAAATTGAGGATCCCACGCGGAAGGCTCAAACAAATGGATTCTTTGGCCCGAAGGCCGGTAGGATTGGCGAAGGAAATCGCAAGCGGGGGCCCCGGGTTGATGGCCTCACCGAGAGGGTAGAATTTGGAGGGCAGACCCAGCTGCCAGTGACTGGCAGGGGGAAGCGCAGAGCACATGCGCCGTTTGGAGAAGCCAAGCTGATGGTCCGACCCAAAACCGCAGCCACAGAGTGCTGCGCTGCGCAAGAAGAGCCGGGCAAGACCAGCAGCAAGGAAGGCTAAAGTAGTATGCGGTGCAAAAATGCCTGCACTGAAACGAGTGAAGGCTGCCCAAAAGGAAAAAGCTGATCCAAGATAGCAAAGCACATAGCGTCCCTCCCCCCTTGGAGTAGAGGAGGTCTTGGCGTGCTAGTCAGCCCATACGAGGACGCTTCTCCAGAAGGGCCTCCATGTTGGCAAAGCCCCTCCCAATGTGGTCCTGAAGCGCGTTTTGGCCGTCCTTGAGGGTGGCCACCTCGTGTCGCAGGTCGTTCCGGAGAAATTCGACCTCTTTGTGTTGCTTCTCAAGCTGGGCTTGCAAGTTCTCGATCCTGTTGCCTTGGTGGCAAGTTGTGGCTTGGATTTCGCCAAAGAAGGCGTCAAAGCGCTGGTTTTGCCGTTGCAGCTCCTGGATACTGACCTCCATTCGCTGCATGCGCATGTCATCCTGCTGACGTTGGTCAGAGTCGTCGATTTCCATAGAGGGATGCTGGTTGACGTGTGCTTGCACATGTGCTGCAAAATCGGCTTTGAGCCTGGTCTCAAGTTGCTGTAGCCGATCCGGGTTGTGGGATGACTGCGATCCTCCCCATGGATCCTTCACCAGCCATGGGTCGGCCGGGGCCGCCTGTGTGTTGGATGCGCTGGCCTGTTGGCCACCGTTGCTGATGTTGCCGGTGCTTGTGTTGCCCCCCCGGATGTGCTGACGGGTGGAAGGGGTGGCAAGGACCAAAGCCTGCGGGGTAACTCGGCTGACATGCTTGACGAGGGTGATCGCCGCATCGCCAAAGGAGCCTTGCATCACGTGAGAGGGAGGAGGTAGGTGTGAGCCCACTTCCCATGCGGCCCCCTCCGATCCTCCGCCTGCTGCATGGAGGACCTTGGCGTCCCAGCTCCACTTGGACAACAGATGCTGGAGATTACTCCTTTGTGTGCCGAAAGGCAAAGGGTAGATGCGGTAGATGGAGTGAATCTTCGAGCTGACAAATGTGTCGGTGGGCCGAAGGTGGCTGAAAGCATCGGCATGGTGCTCGGCACTGAACCGCAGGCCATACTTGGAGTGGATCCTGCAAACGCAGATGGCATGATCGACAATGCAGAGCTTGTGCAGGGCGTCCATGAGGTTGAAACCAGGAAGCCAAATGGCTCCGTATGCTTCGTCGGCAAGTTTGCCACAGTGAGAGCGAGGTTCAGCGTAAAAGCCTGAGGCTCCTGATGCTTTCTGAATGCTGCGTTCCGCACATTTCGGAACCCGAACTAGCACTGAGAACGAGGTCGCCTCTGATGGAGCACAGAATTTGCCGTTGTTGGCAAGCCAGCTGCGGCTCCAGATGTCAAGCAAGAGCACCTCCAGAAGTTCATCGGCTGGGGCGTGGAACTTCATGCAGTCCGTGCCGCATCCCGAGGCCTTGCAGAGTTGCAGGACTGGCACAGCTTCCAGGAGAGCCCGAATAGGTCTTTCCTGAAAGACTGACCAGTTGTGGGGCCAATCATCACGATAGATTGTGAGCCGTAGTGTCTGTGTTGACACTACCTCCATGGTGTGCTGGTGGTCGATGTTGCGAGAGATGGCTCCCTTGCCGAGGGAGATTAGACTCCCTTGTATCAAGAGAGGCTCTGCAGTGGCAATGTAGGTAGCTGGAAACCGGAGCTTGCACTTGGAGTGCGCCTCGCAACTCAGCAGGAAGTGGCGTCGGTGTGAGAACTCCGAGTGCCTCCTCAGAGATGATCTTACCTTCCCGGAGGAAGGGGGCCAGTTGTTGAAGACCGCCGAAGGCAATGCCCTTCTTGCCCTGACCTAGGGATTCGAAGGGTATCTGCTCCAAGGCGGTGCCCTTGTCGTCTGTGAAGGACTGCTTGATGAGTGACAGCTGGCTTGGGTTGACCGCCAAAGGCGTTTCTTCCAACGGCCGAGGCCGTGACTTGCGTGTTTTGTCGGCCGGTTGTACCCGGAACTTGCTGTGTGCTCGTTGTTTGATCTTGCTCTGCAGTTCATCTGCCTTTATGAGGCGAAATGAAGTTTTGGGTCGTGAGGCATATGCTTTTAGGGCCTGCCAGGGTTGTGCTCCTCGAAGAGCGGTAGTGACCTCATTGTGCCCAATCATCTTGAGGGCAAGATGCGCACGCTCATCTGCCCTGTCATCCAGGACGCCTTTTTCGGCGAGAAGACGCCTCAATTGGTCCAGCAGTTGTTGGTCGTCGCCGCCAGGGCCAAGACCGATTGGGGCCTGGTGGTAGGCATGCTGGTCGCGCCAACAAAGGTCCAGAAGGACAAGGTGGTGGTGCATATCGCTGATCGTCGGGTGCTGGTCGGTAGAGATACCAGTGGATGGTGAAAGGGCTTGCATCGTAGCAGGGAGAGGCAGCATGGAATAGGACGAGCGTGCCAGCTGTGGCTGTGGACAAATGTGGTGAAGCCCCAGGCAGAGGGCGAGATGCAACAAGGCCACGGTGCCGCAGGTGTGCGGAGACAGCTGGGTGATCAGCCTGCTGGAGGTAAAGCGCAAGAGCTGTCCTGAAAGCGTAGCTTGATCAAGGCAGTAGGCAAAGGCTGCCTGTGCGGATGCTGTGCCTGCAAGGCCGTCGTAGTGTTGGCAATGTAGCGTGTCATGGTCGGACTGCATACTGACGATGGTCCAGTGATGGTTGTGAAGGAGGAAGACAAAGACTTCTGACTGGTCAGGGTCACCATTGAAGGACCAAAGAGGGCCTAGCTGGAGATCGATGGCTCTGCAATGCAGAGGTGGTCGGTTGTGAAGTAGTGCAAAAAGATCGAAGGCACCACCAAATAGAGCGAGGCTGGACAGGCCAAGAGTGGTCGTGTCAGGTCCGGAGCCGTAGGTGGTGACCCACAGGTCCCAGCTATGCCACAGCCGTGCGTCCTGGTGGAGCTGCACATGGCCCACTGAGAGGGTGGGAGCTGTGGGATCCAGACCTGCTTCAGCAAGGAATTGGAGCAGCAGAGATCCTGCGGGAAGCAGGATGGATTGAGACGACTCACCAAAGTGCAAGGTGACGAAGATGCCGCCGTCGGGTCGAGGTAGTGCCTGCTTCTTCAGGACTCGTCTCAAGTTGTAAGGACCGCATCGCCCAGAGGGTCGGAGATGAGCCTCCGGTGCAAGGCGTCGCGTGCCATCAAAGAGCTGAGTGGAGTATCCCCAGTAGCCTTGTACATCCTCAGCACGGAGAAGTTGACCGACTGTTGTAGGTGCGCAAACCCGCAGTGGGATAGGTGGTTCGTCCTCTGAGGAGATGACTTCGACGGAAATTGGGGTACCTGCGCGATCCCAGGGCAGGAGATCATGGACATGGTTGAGTAGTAGGTCCTGGTAGGACTGGATGATGTCTGTTGGTGGCATCGTAGTGTGAGTGTCGTAGTAACCATCCACGGTGTTGGCGAGGTGCGCAAAGACCCAAAGCGCCTGGATGGGCGCTGCCGACTGCCCCAGCATAGGCAGTGAGGCACGGCCTGGTAGCAGCTTGACTCCCGGAGGAAAAGTCAAAAGGGTGGCCGCCTCAGAAGGGTGCAAATGTCGCATTGCACCGTCCGTAGAGTCCTGCACGCCGAAACCACGAAGGCCTTTGGTCAGAAGACGCCAGGGCAGGAATCCCTTTGACCGACACATGCAAGGACAACCCGAAAACACATGTCCATATGAATGCAGCATGGTAGGGCAGCAACTGTCTGGGCGAAGGATCCGTTGTTCCTGTCCAGCATGGGGACCAAAATACCACTCCATTTCTTCGGCGGTGAAGAACAGGGGCGAAAGTTCCTCTGCTGTCCAGCAAGGCCATGAGGGGAGAACATCCGCAATGCACTTGCAACCTGTGTTGGTTGGCCAAGAACGGAGGGCAGGGGTAGGCAACCACTTGGGCACCAGCAGTGCCCACCAGCGTGCCCGGCGCATAGGCCACTGTTCCTTGAGGTCCAATACCACCTGTACGAAGTGCATATCCATGATGTTGGCAAAGTCCCTGAGCGCTTGTTGCAGCCGAAGATTGTAACCTGCTTCAACCACGCACTCGAGGATCAAACCGGTAGCCTGATGCAAATAAGCGGACCGCAATACTCCCCAAAAAGCGGCTGCTCGCTGATCATCAAAAGCACGTCCATCACCCTGTTGACTGAAGGGTTGACAGGGGAAACCGGCGGCTTCCAAAGTGGGACCAACATGTCCGGCTAGATGCAGTGTACAAAGGTCCTGGTCGCTGGTGATGTTGCCGCAAAAGGCTGGAAACGAAAAATTCATCTGCAAGTGCCGGATGGCCAGGGCATTGATGTCCATTGCGGCAATCACTTTTGCGCCTCCAGCTGCAAGGCCAAGGCCAATACCACCAATACCTGCACATAACTCTTTGACCTCACCAAAGCTGTGTTGGGTGGCCTCAGCCAAATGTACAAGCACGGATTCCGGTGTGTGGCTCAGCGAGCCATCTGCGTCCACTTTGTAAAAGTACAGAGCATACCGGTGGCCAGTCTGCAACATCAGGTGGACCATGACCGTGAGTTCGGTCCCCAAGATCTCGCATTCGGTGATGCCCTCCTCATGGACGTGCTTTGCAAGCACCACACCTGTGAATGCCTCCCCCGCCGTCGGGGTAGAAATCCAGCGAAAGCGATCCATGGTGTCACTCCCCGAGTATTCGCAGTCCCAGCTCTACCGCTGGGAGGGCTCGGGCCAAGAGCTTCTAGGTGTTTCTCAAAATAGTGGTTCCTTTTAGGTTCGGCTGGAATATCACTCAAAAGGGAGTCCGAGTGCCATTTTTGGGTTCTCCCATGTAGATTCCTCGCGCAAACCATCCCACTCTCGGATTGTTAGCCGGTGACTCCAGGTCTGTCACTTGAAGTGGGTGGCAGAGTTGGCTCGTCGGAAGGATTCGGTCCAAGTAATTGACTCCAGAATGGAGCCTGACATGAGCCCAGGTCCTGTCAAACCATTGTCTCCAAAAAGGGGGTCCCCCCAAAAGGATATCTTTCTAGAAATGATGCCTTTTTAGGTTCCATGTCAATCTGTAGGGGAGTAGTTGGTGGGAGGGTAGCGGATCAACATGTACATTTCAGAGTTCACAAACATTATCAGAGAATGTGATTATTAACCAACACTAGGGGGATGCTCATACCTCAAATAGGGATTTGCGTGTCCACGACACCCACTCGCAATATGGTGATCTGCTTTGAATTGACAAACTAAGTGTGTTAGCAGCTGTGCCCTGTCCCCCGTGGAGAGTTGCAGGGAGAGTTTGTCGTGTCCATCGTTTGGAGAAAAAGAGGGAGGCCACAGGAGGCCAGTGTGCCTGGGATGTTCAAAGGGATTTTTGGTGGGCGAGTTTTCCTGGTTCGGCACTGTCCAAAGCCGGCTCGGGCTACTCCTCAATACGCTCATGTGTTGATGTTCACAGCGTTTATCCCTAAAAGGGGGTAGCCATAAACATCCCGACATGACCAAATAGGCTCAGTTTCGGGGATGCGGAAACCAAAGGTACAACTTGCAGTGAGCCAACTGATTTGACGTGTTTCCTGGGCAACGACTGTGTAGATGCTCGAAGATGGGGTGTCCCTTGGGCAATTTGTGCAAAATGACAACGACGCAAGGATGTGGGTTTTCCTTCGAGTGTCCCTAACCAACCCAGAAAAGGTAACTCCAAAAAACACACACGTTTGGTAATATCTTAGAAAACATACCCATTAATCCCCACCTCGCAAATGCTTTCACCGGGAAACCAAGGTCATTTCCCTGACGGGTGGTCACACACCGGCTTTCGGAGGGGTCGCCTTTGGGCACCGCCTACAGGGTTCCTTGTATTTTGTCCCAGCATCCCCCAAAGGCGTTGTTTAATTGGCCAAGGTGATGCTAAACCACCAGGGGAGATCGGAACCTTGTAAAACCCTGGTAAACGCCGTGATACCAAAATTATCTGTGGGGTCGGCCACTATATACAAATGGAACCCACCAAGCAAAATGCAACTAGGTGATTTAGTGGAACTCATTGAACGGATTCATCTTCTGAGCCAAGACATCAGTTAGATTGGCAGTCCCAGCCAGAAATAGTTGCGGATATCCGCCTTCTTGATTCTTGAAGCACGGTTCTGGGATGACGACCATTTTAATACCGGGTTTTGATTATGACTCATTTGGGAGCACCTAAGAAAACCTGGTTTCTGACTCGATTCCCCTGAAATGCCAACAATCGTTATGGTTCCCCATGGTTTGAAAGTGGTGCAGGATTTTGTCCATCCACAGTATCACTAGGGGACTTATGACTAGGCTTCATTTTTGTTTTCCTTCCGCCAGGTCTCCCTCGAGGAATTTGTGAAGCTCATGTACAAGTGCGCCGCCTTTGTCCATCCTCGAAAAAGCTTCGTGGGTCGAGTGCTCTCAAACGGACTGCAAGAGTTTGGTCCCGGGTTTGGTAGCCTACCACAGAAAGGAGGGGTTTGCGCACCACCCGGTTGGCCATGTTCAGCTTATTTTCCTCGGTGATGTTTGCATATAAGCCACCCTTCTCTATCCCCGAGAGAGTTCTCAGAACCCTTCTAAGAAAAATGTTTCTCAGACCTTTCCTTGGTGTGGGGGTGCCGTTGGTTTCATCCCTAAAGGCTTTTTGAGGGCGATATTCTTAAGCCCTGGGCGTTTCTCAAAATAGGTTTTGGGCCCCTAACTTAGCGCGGCGGGAACGCGGCGATTTGTGCGATTGCGATTTGCGATTTCTGCGAGCCCAAGGTGAATCGCAGCGATTTGGGGAATAGTAGTTAGTTTCAGGGGCATATGTGCTAAGCTTGGTTGGATATGGTTGGGTGTCGAAGCAGAAAACGATTTTCATCAGCTCAGGGTAAGGCAAAATGGGTTTGGGAGCGATGTTTGCTTTTGTGGTTGTGGTTTGGCTGGGTAGACAGAGAGGCAGCAGGTGCGGCAAGGCTCTAGAAACGATTTTCGTCTGGGGAAAATAGGTTTGGGAGTGTTCCGATGTCTGCAATAGTTGCAGGCCGAAGCAGCGATTCAGAGGGCGACTGAGAATCGAGGAAGATCCTTCAGACGCAAAAGCTTGTGGCTTCAGATATCACTTTTGGCCCTTTCCCGTGCAGAGAAAGCAAGGCAATGTCAAAACCAATGCTTTCTGCGTTTCGCAATGAGAGCCCCTAAGCAGCGATTCAAAGCTAGCGATTTCACATCGCTGCATTTGCGATTCCCTGCTTTTAACCCACAGCGATTTGAAAACGCAGTGATTTGCGATTGCGAGTTTGCCTCGCTAAGGCCCAAAAACTCACTTGTCCAAAGCCAAACTTTTGATCTTTTGGTGTTCCTATTTCGGTCCACCTGTTTTGATCCCAAAAGGTGATTACCTTCTATTTGAGACAAAATGGTCGATGTCCTTTCCTTTCGGCTTGCCAATAAGACCAAAAGGGCCTTCATTGGAGATCCTGGTGAAACCTTAGCTGTGGTTCCATGTCCAAAAATTGAGGAACCTGAATGCATGGTCATGGTCTGTCTTGTTTGGAGTTGGTACAGTACCCCTTTTGGAGGTTGCTAAAAAACGCAAGCCAAAGGGACAACCAAAAGCAATTTGGGGGTCCAACTATCTTGAGGCACACTCACCAACATGAGCGCAGATCTTCCGAAAAGCCGACATCCGTGAGTCCAAGGTTTCACCAGAGCTTACAGGGATCAAGGGACCAGCAAAAGAGAGGTAAATACAGTCTTAGCTGGTAGTTGCTTGGATCTTCCGTTGAATTTTGGGGTAATGATTTGCCCCAACAGCTACAAGTGAAAGAGCACGGCGCGCCTTCTTGTTGAGCTGATGTCACAGCACTTCCCCCCAGAAATCGCCTTCCCCCTTACCAGAAGGGCTTCTCGGTCATGGGAGGGTTGAACTCCAGGTCGCCTCTTGGGCTTGTCCCATTTCAAGAGGCTCAGTCCCTGAGTTCCCGGACTACTTTTCGGGAAGACCAGACTTTTCGTTTTCGCCGATCCACTGAACGGCTTTGGCCAATTCGCATCCAAGAGCCACCGAACTTCCCAGGACAAAAACCAAACGCGGGCGAGCCTCCGGGGCCTCCGACCTCGTCCGGGCCGCGGTTTTTGGGAGGTACGAGCTGGCCATGTGGCCCGAGAGCAGCGATGAAGACCTGGCGAGGGTCGTGAAGGTGGTGGGCGAGGGCATCTCCAGGCGAGCGGATTGGAGGTGCCGAGGCAAAGCTCACTTCCTGAGGTCCTCGACTTTAGTCACTTTTTTTGTTTTCACCAATTCAGTGGCAAGCAGAAAAGGACCTGATTTGCCCAAGCCCAGGAAGTGGGAAAGTTGCAGTGCTCGCTTGGAGTTGGTGCCCCTGAGCTGGGCCTATGATTGCACTTTCGGGTTGTGACAGTCAACCGTGGCGAAAACAGGTAGGTCAAGTCCCTACAAGCGGTTTGGATGGACATTGGATGGTGCTTGGAGGGACATCCAAATGAGACCAGGTGAGGGTTCAAGTTAGACACTGGTTACCAACCTAGCTTATAAGCCAACAGTCCTTCGTCAGGAGTCCTGCAAATGGGTAATCCCCAGTCTCGTAGATCAAACTCGATTGTTATTGAGCCTGCCTCTTTGAGCCTGCCTCTTGTGAGGTGTTGTTCGAATGCGCGAAGGTTGGTAAATTATGATATATATAGGACACCCAGATTTGTCACCGCTATTTGTGGAGATGCAACTTGTTCCACGTACTTGCTTTTGCCAAGCGAACCCACTTTTTACCTTTTGGTTTTCCTACTTTATCACTGCCACAACAGGTTCGCCTTTCATTTGGGTGCTTTGCAACTGAGTTAAATCATTTGCCAATAACATCCCTCTTTTCCAAAACCCTTTTTGCGCCAGGTGGCACCACGTGGAAGGCAACTGGTACAAGGCCGAACCGTGGTTCAGTCCGTCCACAGATGAGCCTGAACAAGGGGTAGGTTATGGTAGGTTTTGTTTTGGCGCCTTCGGTTGTCCTTTGGTCAGGAGTTGTTCTTTGGTTTTCTGGTTTGGGGGCTTTAGGTGACTGGCGGGTATTTTGGGGTATGGGAAAACAGCGGTTTTTGGACAGCATATGGTTAAACTTCCCCCAAATCTAGCTCAGTGCAGTTGCCGGCTTCGGCCACAGGGCTAACAAAAAGATGGAGATAACAAAAAGCTTGAAGGGTTGAACAAAACGGTTTGGAGGGCTCAAAAATGGCTCCCTGGAAAGGGGTAGCCGGTCTTTCGAACATGGGTTTGCCTGGTGACCTCTTCCGAAGGGTCCATTTATCCAAAGACAAGGAGGGTGTCAGAAGGTACACACGGGAGGTGTGTGTGGCTGCTTCCTTCAGGTGGCATAAGAATCATCCAGCTTCCACTTGCGTACAATGGATGTTCTTAATTATCCGCTGGTTTTGCAAGAAATCTATCAATGCGATTGTGTGTGTGTGTGTGGGTGGGTGGGTGCGTGCGTGCGTGCGTGCGTGCGCTCGTGCGTGCGTGCGTGCGTGCGCTCGTGCGTGCGTGCGTGGGTGGGTGCGTGCGTGGGTGGGTGGGTGGGTGGGTGTGTGTGTGTGTGTGTGTGTGTGTGTGGGTGGGTGCGTGCGTGCGTGCGTGCGTGCGTGCGTGCGTGCGCGCGCGCGTGCGTGCGCGTGCGCGTGCGCGTGCGCGTGCGCGTGCGCGTGCGCGTGCGCGTGCGCGTGCGCGTGCGTGTGGGTGTGTGTGTGTGTGTAAGAGTAAGAGTAAGTGTAAGTGTAAGTGTAAGTGTGTGAGTGTGTGTGTGAGTGTGTGTGTGTGTGTCTGTTTGTCTGTGTCTCTGTCTCTGTCTGTGTCTCTGTCTGTGTCTGTGTCTGTGTCTGTGTGTGTGTCTGTGTGTGTGTGTGTCTGTGTGTGTCTGTGTGTGTTTGTGTGTGGCTGTGTGTGTGTCTCCGTGTGTGTGTGTTTCTGTGTGTGTGTGTGTCTCTGTGTGTTTCTGTATCAGTGTGTGTCTGTGTGTGTCTGTGTGTGTGTCTGTGTGTGTGTCTGTGTGTGTCTGTGTGTGTGTGTGTGTCTGTGTGTGTGTGTGTGTGTCTGTGTGTGTCTGTGTGTGTCTGTGTGTGTCTGTGTGTGTCTGTGTGTGTGTGTCTCTGCGTGTCTCTGTGTGTGTCTGGGTGTGTCTGTGTGTGTGTGTGTTTGTGTGTGTGTGTCTGTGTGTGTGTCTGTGTGTGTCTGTGTGTGTCTGTGTGTGTCTGTGTGTGTCTCTGTGTGTCTCTGTGTGTCTCTGTGTGTCTGTGTCTGTGTCTGTGTGTCTCTGTGTCTCTGTGTCTGTGTCTGTGTGTCTGTGTGTCTGTGTGTCTGTGTCTGTGTTTGTTTGTTTGCTTTGTTTGTTTGCTTTGTTTGTTTGTTTGTTTTTTGTTTTTTCTCTGTGAAGACAAACCAACTAGACCACGGTTGGCCCGAAAGCATCACAGCCCCGTGACCATTCTGCGCAAGTTGCTCTGGGCAAGCGGCGAGGTGCTTTGCGTAAGCTGGTTTGTGCAAGTTGCTCTGCGCAAGTTGCTCTGCGCAAGTTGCTCTGCGCAAGTTGCTCTGCGCAAGTTGCTCTGTGCAAGTTGCTCTGTGCAAGTTGCTCCCCGTGCAAGTTGCTCCCTGCAAGTTGCTCTGTGCACGCTGCTCTGTGCAAGTTGCTCTGTGCAAGTTGCTCTGCGCAAGTTGCTCTGCGCAAGTTGCTCTGCGCAAGTTGCTTTGTGCAAGTTGCTCTGGGCAAGGTGCTCTGCGCAAACTGGTCTGTGCAAGTTAGTCTGCGCAAGTTGCTCTGCGCAAGTTGCTCTGTGCAAGTTGCTCTGTGCAAGTTGCTCTGCGTAAGTTGCTCTGCGCAAGTTGCTCTGCGCAAACTGGTCTGTGCAAGTTGCTCTGTGCAAGTTGCTCTGCGCAAGTTGCTCTGCGCAAGTTGCTCTGCGCAAGTTGCTCTATGCAAGTTGCTCCGTGCAGCTTGCAAAGCTGCGGACCAGGGGTGAATCGAACCCGCGACCCGCCGGTCCCGGGAGCGGGCGCGCGAACCACGAGACAACTCCCGAGGACCGCTTCGAACAACAAAAGTCGCAAAAACCTCGAGGTTTTGCACCGCGACCACGCCGATCCCCGCAGAGGGTCGCGCGAGCCAAAACAAAAGTCGCAAAAACCTGGAGATTTTGCACCGCGACCACGCCGATCCCCGCGTCGCGCGAGCCAAAACAAATGCGCAAAACCCCGTGAGTTTTTGCACCTCGACCACGCCGATCCCCGCGTCGCGCGGGCCAAAACAAATTCGCAAAAAACCGTGAGTTTTTGCACCTCGACCACGCCAATCCCCGCAGAGGGTCGATTTTCGTAGAGTGTCGTCGGCACTACCCCCGCCGCCCTAAGAAAAGAAGTCAATTGCACTTGACACTTGACTCCTTGACTCCATGCACTTGCAAGTTGCACTTGACTCCATGCACTTGCAACTTGCAACTTGTACTTAACTCCGTGCACTTGCAACTTGCACTTGACTCCATGCACTTGGCTCCTTGCAACTTGCAATGACTCTCTCCTTGCAATGACTCCTTGCAATGACTCCTTGCAATGACTCCTTGCAATGACTCCTTGCAATGACTGCTTGCAATGACTCCTTGCAATGACTCCTTGCAAAGACTCCTTGCAATGACTCCCTGCAATGACTTTCATGCTGATGATTCCTTGCAATGACACCTTGCAATGACACCTTGCAATGACACCTTGCAATGACTTTCATGATGCTGATTCCTTGCAATGACTCCTTGCAATGACTTTCATGATGATGATTCCTTGCAATGACTCCTTGCAATGACTCTCATGAGAACAACTCAAGTGAACCCAGCGGAAGAACCCTTCGCCATGCTTTCGGGAAAAACAACGCAAATGGAGGCTAAACAAGCAATCTGGGATGCATCTTGTGGGCCATTTTGTCGGCTGCGCGCGGATGCTAAAACTCACAGCTTCTGATAAGCGGATTTCCATAGAAGAGCTAAAGCGGCATTTAGGCCCTAATTGAACCCCCTTTTTACGAGCTCCCTCGCTCGCTCCTCCTTGGCCTGCAGGGTCAAAGGGAAAGGGGCCGGTGAACGACCAACCTGAGGTCCCTTGGTACCCATTTCGAGGTTTTAGGTCATACCGCAATGTACCTGACATTTTGCTTTGACCCAACACGAAGCCATGGCCGAGTCGATCGACTTCCCCAAATGGCGTCGGCCACAGAGCCAGGGCGTCAGCGAGCACTGAGTTTCTTGATGGCGGTGCAGCTCTTTGTCCAAAGAAACTCAGATACTGAGTCTAGGTCCCCAGTAGTGCCCTTTTTACCCGTTTTTGGGGGTTCCCCTACTAAAATAGACTACAGTGACTACAGCAAAAGGGTACCCTTATTCTATCCTCTCTGCTGGAGGACCTAGGAAGGAGTTCATTTTGCCATACTTGCTGAACGAGTCAGACTGAACTGCAGTGGGCTTTTGAGATAAGAAAGTCTGGCGTGACGGTCCCACTGACATTTCTAACTACTCGTTGCTGGCAACTTGTATTTTACAGTGGCCATACTGGATTTGAATGTGTCTTAAAACAGGGTGGTCGCCTTCTGTTTTCCTCCTTTGGCGTTGGCCCAAAGGGGTATCCCCAACGCCAGAGGGGCGTCCAGTCACTCCATGGCCGCAGAGTGGACGCTTTTACCTCCGCGGAGTGCAAAGGCTACATGGAGAGCGAAAGCTCTGGCTTGGTAAGAGCAGTTCTTTGCGATTCTACCATGCTTCAAGACTTGCAGCTCAAAGAGCAGGGCGCCTTACAGGATGCCTGGCAAGGATTGCCAGAAGTTGTGGGCGGACAAGGTGAAGCTTATCTCATGACCCCCCTCGTGGGGCACGTGCTGATGTCCCCCATTGAATCTTTGGTTCAGGTTTGAACACCCAAGAATTCCCCTCATTTTATCTGGTAATTCGGGTCAAACAGCTGGCAACGGAGGGCTTGCTGGGCGGTCTGGCTCAAAAGCCCGGGAGTGGAACTCACAGAAGCTCCAAGATTTCAAAGCATATAAACCTCACACAGTTTTGGCTTGTGGGTTCCTGAACCTTTTTTCACCCCTGTTCCGGAGCAATCCGGTAGGTGGTTAATATCCTAGGCGGAGCAAAGCTATAACCCATTTGCAGCAGAGTTAACCCTACGTACTAGCTGATGTAGTTTATGCAATCTCGATTGGTTTATTTTTGATACACATGAGTCAAATTTTACCATCCGACAATCCGAGTCTGCGCAGAACGCCTTTTGAGTTTGAGTGGGATCTTCTGAGCAGTGCAGTCCCCCCAAACTGATGGGTGCCTTTTGTGCATGGTTCTTTTGGCTTGGCATTTAATTATAACTCACTTCCTGTGTTCCTGGACTTGAGACTGTTTAGGAAATCCATTTCAGTACACAAAAAGTCTGGACTTGTTTGGCCAATCCTTCACCAAGATGCCCAGAACCGATCCGATGTCCAGGTGTTCCTCTTGATCGACACCCAGGGCACAGGACACGGCCAGCGCCATGAAACCCCGGCCGCCCAATGAGCAGAGCCCAAACGCCCCCTGGCTCCATATGGGTTGTAGTATGGTCTACAAAACCCCTCTACAACCAACCAAAAGTCAGTGGTTTTTGGCGCTCCCATGAATGCAGGCCGCGCAGCGCATATTGCCTGAAGGGGCAAACTTTAAACTCGTTGCTTCTATGGTTGTCCACTGTTGCAAAGGTTCAGCATCCAGGGATCTCTTGAAAGTGAATTCTATCATTGTATACACCGATTCTACCCTTGCAGGTGCTTTCGGATTCGATCTAAACCCTTTTTTCAAGCTGCGTCAAGGCCACTGGGCCAGAACAGCTTCAAACAAGCATGACAAGTTGAGAGGCATCGAGCAAACTGAGAATACCGAGGCAGGTTGAGAGCAATTGAGAGCTTTTATTCCCTTGAATGGCCTCAAAATCGACACGTGTGGCAAAGAGCATTTGAGATTCAAATGGGCTTGCCCAAATAAGAGCCAATGAGCCCAATTGAGGATTATCCAGTGCATTTGAGAAAACGGTATTTTGAAGATTGACATTTGAGCTGGTTTCACCTGAGGGGTGGCACCTGAGGGGGGGCGAGTAGTATCCTTGGTGAAGTGGCCATATGGGTTCAGGGGTTTCTTGGGTTGATGGAGGCGTCCCAGCGCAGGAACGATAACCTTCGAAGACCTGAAGAAGTTCTTGCGAGGTGAGAGCCTCTGCTCGTTTGGCCCAGGTGTTGTGACTCAGGTCGCACGTCAAGCGATCCCCACTGCACAGTGCTGGAGGCCTTGCTTCCCAGCTGCTCATGGCTTCCAAAAAAACAGAGCTCAAATATCCAAGTACGGAGAGCTGGTGTCTTTTCCTGGTTTCCGACCAGGAGGAGGCTCTGACAAGCTTGCGTGCCTGAGAGCAAGGCATTTGCGAGTTCTTTGGTTCAGCTTCTCAAAGTTTGTTCCAACAACAAACTCACAGTCACCGTGCCCAGGGCTGACCGCATTTGCCCAGCCCTATATAAGCGGTCCATTTGAGCTTCCGGACATTGGCGACTCACTTCGTCAGCCTGCAAGTTATCCAGCCGTTTTGCGGCAGCCTTCTGATGTTTACACCAATTTGAATAAGCCTGATGATTGGCGTTCAGGCGCGGAAGGGGTAGCATGAGGATGTTTTTGTTGTGTACTCGTTCGATTCCCTCATTTTCCGTTCGGGAATGATTCCATCAAAAGCGGAAGTTTTCCCACCCGGCTGCAGTTGGCAAAATGTGGGGGTTGTCCGAAAGAGTATCCAATGTTGAATGGAGTTGTTTGGGGGAACGGGAAGCACACCCCCTGGTTTTGGGTTTTCTTTTGGCTCCCAACTTCCTTAGCAGGCCCCAATACTTGGGTTGGTCTCAAATTAGGGGAACCCCCAAATGGGTGGTTTCCCTTTGGTTTCCCTTCAAACCAACCCAAAAAGTGGCACCACCAACAAAAGGAGACTCCCACTTGCCTTTGAAGGTTTCTCTTGAGACCGACGTGACCTTATGGCATGGCCCGCTGTCCAACAGTGATCAGCATTTCGGTGGGGTCCCTTGATTGCAAGCCATGCCAGATGCATGTGGTGTCCTAGAACAGGAACCTTTGTGGATGCTTCTTGTTTGGGGGCCCTGCCAAGAAATGTGTGTCTTTTTTTGGCCGGGCACTGGCACAGCTTGCCTGGCAGGCAGGCAGGCAGGCAGGCAGGCAGGCAGGCATGCAGGCAGGTTTGGTTGGTTGGTTGGTTGGTTGGTTGGTTGGTTGGTTGGTTGGTTGGTTGGTTGGGCAAAGCCAGACGCCAGCCGCCCTTCCAATTTTGGATGTGCATTTTAGAAGCGAAGGGGCGGGGTTGATCGCGCAAACAGAAAATGAGCCCACCAAATCCAATGAATTCTGGCCCTGCTTGTAATAGTTAGAGCAAGCACCATGTCAGCCTTGGCTTTGCTTTTCCTGCTCACTTCAGGTTTGTAAAAGTCCTCCCCAAATAGCAATATAAGGCAATGCCCCCCCCCCTGCAAAGCATCAGGCATGAAGGACATAACTTTGGTGCATTTTGCTTGGATGTTAGGACTTTAACTTTTTGCCAACAAATGGGTTTTTCATTAAACCACTAAACGTTTTTTACTTTTAGCAGGGGAGCAGAAAGCAACCGAGAAAAGGTTTGGGTCGTGCTTGGGGGCCCGAACAAACGGGTACTGGGGTTGCAACAGACCTGACTTGCCGAGATTCTTGCGCTCAGGCACGTACCCGGGCTTGCATCTGAACCGTGAGGACTGCCTGTCGCTCTCTTGCAGGGTGAGAAGGGGACTGGTCTCCCTTGGCCAAGCACCCAAGCAATTCCTTTTGAGACATACCTGCCCACATGGGGGGTCACACTAAGTCACTATGGTACCAGCGAAACTTTCCTTCAAGGGAGTTAGTCTTTAGTCTTTAGAAAGGCCTAGAAGTTCTGGACGGTTTGAATGGCGCCCGTGGATTCAACCCATTCTCCCACTTGCTTCTGTTTGCTTACTTTGTTTTGCCTTGTTTCCCGAGTTCCGGGACTTCGGTCACTTTTTAGAAAGACCATCTTAGCGGCACTCAGAAAATTTGGATTTCTTTTGAGCTAATCCACTCAGGAAGTGAGTTGCATTTTGATCAGCTGGAGATGGTTTCCTCGCAGCCGCCCGGCCAATCGCTTCCCTCTAGGAGCTGCCCAGCGAAGACATGTTCGGGCTCTGGAAGGCCGGCGGAGTCGTGACGGTGACGGGAACGCCGATTTCTCCAACCACAAATCGGGGCCCCGTAAGAAAGCGACCCGAGCTGTTGGGTGCATTTGGGTGCCCACATGTTTTTGGCAAACACCATGAAACCTAGGTGTTCTGAAAACCATGTTCATTGTTGGAATGTCGGTTGGGTTTCTTCTTCAGTGATTGTTTGTTTGAAAGGGGGCAAGGCAGTATGCGTTTCTGTTGCTGCCAAACCAAGGTCTGGGCAGTACATGATTGCAGAAGTACATTGCCGCGGCATGGTTGGTTTCAATTGGTTTGTTTCCCTAAGCCATCCAACCGGTGGTTTTCACGGGGAGTTTCCTAAAACAAACGCACCCGGATTTACCATCGTATGAAGCATGGCGAGTTTGGAGTATCTTGTTTCGGGAGCCCCGGAATCCGGACTCAGCACCATGCCTCCATTCATAATATAGCATTAAAAAAATGGCAAAAACACCTCACACCATGTCCCGAGCTCTGAGAAGCGTCATTGTTTTTTTGCAGGAAACCGCAAGGAACCCCATTTTTGGGGGGGTCCAAATTCACCCAATTGATCCGTATGCAAAAGTGTTGAGTTCGAGTATGAGCACAAAAATCGCTCTTGCCTTGAAAGCTTGGGAGATTTGATTGGGAACTCGAACTTGTTTGTCCATTGTTTCCAGAATGAGGCAACATAAAAGGTACATCTTGTTTGACAGAGAGGATTCCTCAATTTGCCAGACCAGCAATGTGAACAAGAGTTCATGGACTTTTTGGAAAGACCATTTCAGGGCCAAAGCAAAAGTTTGTGTTTTTTGTTGGCCAGTCCCAGGAAGTGAGAATCGGTTGCTACCTTCACCCATGACTCCGGGAATGAAGTCAGGGGAATGAATATCGGCAGGCGATGGACAGCACTGTGCAGATGAAGGCCGGATACTGGACTGGGCTTGACGGCCCCTTCTTTTTCTTTTTTTTTTTTTAATCTTTGTGTTGTTTTCCTTTTTTTTTCTTTCGTTTTTTCTATTTGCTTAAGACTATTTATTGCAGTGTAAAAGGGCATCTATCACTACTGGACATTTGTTGTGTTGTTTGTTTTGTTCCAGGGGGGCAGTTTTGCAGAAGTTCCACTTGCATTTTAGTTTTGTTTAATCCCGTATGACTCTAGAATTGTCTTTTGTGTTTGGTATGTCTTTTTCCCGGAGTTCCTGTATGGGAAAGAGAGATAGAGAGAGGAAAGCAACGAACATGAGTGTGCAGCATGCACTGATGGCCAGCCCGGCAACAGAAATGGCGAGAGATGAGCAAGACTTGACTGTTGCGGTGGCATAGACCAAGACGTCACTTCAAAGTGCAACCCAAGGAAGCCACATTTTGGGTGTCATCTACTAGCAGAATGAGGGCACTAGGCGGGGCGTTCCCGACATGTTGACCCACGGCTCCTCACGGAATCGACACTTGTCTAGGCTAGGGGTAGTTGCATTTTCCCTTAAACTTAAGTTTGCTTTTCAGGAGAATATTCAGTATGTTCTTTCTCCACTTTAAAGGGAATCGACATTGTTTTGCCAGGGGACTGAAGCAAATGGAAGGATATGTTTTCACAACCAGCCCCTGGTATACAAGCACAGAGGGGGCCCACCCTGGAGTTTTGGCCCACGAGGGGCGAACAAGGTGATGTATGTCCTACTCAGACACGTACGAGGGTTTGGCCAACGTATCCAGTAGTCCATGGTCTGTTTGGGAGGCACATGAAAGTTCCCACACAAAAACACGGGGGACTCTCAACCGCACCCTTGTCCAGTTGGGCAACAGAAATCCGGAGCTATATAAATTGGGGAACTCTTTATGTTCACAGTCTAGAGTAGAGTCATTGGTGCAATTAGTTCGTATCTCAGATATCACTCTATCGCGGCTGAGTGACAGCGAGTGCCACTCCGTACTATTGGTAGAAGGAGGTGTTGCTATCACCCGCCTGTCCAGATATGTAGTTTCTTCTGGCCTTTCCGCTCTCACAACCAACAAACGTGGCTGCACGGACCCTTTTCGAAGACTACTTTCCTTTTGGGAAGGTTTCGAAGTGCACAACTCAAGTCTTGTGGTCAAACAAAAGAAATCACAAGCTAAACTCTCTCCTGTTGGGGCGCAAGAATACACACGAATCCCAACAGATGCAGGGGACAGTGAGGGTTCCATGCAGCCGGATCGAAATATGGCACCAATCTTGGCCGGGGATGCGCAAGCTGACGATCGGACTACTTTCCTTGAACTTCCATGACTGAAAGAGGGTAAGTCTTGCAAATGGGTCCTGGAATCGTTCTCCGAGCTCCAGGTGTTGGGTTGCTCCGATTGGAGCAATGACCCGTGACCCGTGACCTGTGACAAGAGTGGCTTCCACTGGCCATTGAAGAAGTGCGTGTTCCGACCGTCCCTTGCAACGTGTTCAACGTGTCGCCACCTTGTGGCTGGAGAAACATCACCAAGTATACTACTCAATAACTGAGTTCCCGGACTTTAGTCACTTGCTAAGAAACCATTGGTGATTAACAGTTTGGACTTGTTTAGGGCAATCACCCTTTTTCGCGGCCCATCTAAAATTGGAAATCCTGCTAGATGTTTACTGGGTGTTTGGTTTCTGTCAGCCCCGTACCCAGCCACACCGTGCTCGCTGGATTGGATCGGAAGCCCTTCCGAGGTGCCGAAGAGTGAGTTCATGACCTTTATGCGGAGGCGAGTCTTGGTGTTTTGTGAGGGATTGGGAGGTACACGACTTCACGTTGGCCATTGGGTTGTTGGATGGTTGGTTCCAACATGCGTGTAAACAAGCTGTTGTTGGCATGTTTTAGTTTTTTTTGCTGGTTCAGTTCTGTTCATTTTTTGTGGAGGGCTGCCAAAAATAAAGTTGTGAGGTACCAAGAAGTTGTAAAGGTGAGGTACATGCTCATGCGCGAATGGGTGTGCCTGTGTTTTGGGAACCCCTTTTGGCTACAAACAGGAAGCCAAAAGGACACCAACCTCTTTGGAGGGGCCGATTGGGCCCCCAAGACATGGTGCTTGCAGGGCTGAATCTCCTGAAGGAGGGAGCACGTGGATAGGAAGAGGAGGGAGCCCTCTTCATCATATGGGTACGGGTCAAAATTTAAACTGGACCGCAGGTTTTAGTCCATGTTTCCATTTACCAGGACTCCATATTGGGTACATATTTTTGACCCGCAGTCATATCTTTTTTGGATTGAGCACTTGAGTTCTGGTGTGAATTTCGCGTCTGATTGCCAAAGAAAGAGGTCGAGGCTTCGGGCAGTTGCTCAGCCTTTGGCATGCAGGACGACCATAAGATCCATCCAATGAAGCACGTTGGCCTTCTTGAACTGCTTGCGGATTGACTCGCGCTATGAAAAAGCTTCCTTCTTACACATTTGTTTCTTGCAGTTGGTGACGTATTACACGGCTGTGGGTCAAAACCAATGGTACCATTTTGGGGTAGGTGCACCACTCAATTTAGAACCTATTTTGGTGGGATTGGGATGTTCACTGGGGGTACGGAATTTTGACCCATGGCCATATATCAGTGCAGAGCAGATACTCCCTTAGCATGGACGTGCGCAATGCCCCTTTCCAAAAGGAAAGTAGTGTTCCAGAGGTCTGTACATCAAACCATTTTGGTGGGTGGTACAAGGGAGATACTGTAGGGAAGGGGTGTGTTGAGGTGGTTTCGCGGAAGAGTGTTTCACAAGCCTTTGAGTTCATCCTCTCAGACCTTCAGTGCCCTTTGCTCGGGCGTGCCTTTCAAGTCGGGAACTCAGTTGTTTAAAGGCCATGTTTCAACCCGTTGGTTTCCCCTTGGCCCACTTTTAGTCAAGGTCTCCAACGTTAGTCGCCTTTTGTTTCTAGGTCCAAACTGCACCGAGCAGGTCTGGTCGCGTGGTGAATCTGCATTCAACAGTGGATTTAGAGGGCTCCAATTGTCTTCACAACTTTGGGCGTGTGTTTTAGTTGTTTTTGTTGAGAGGAACAGAGCAACACAGCACGACAAGTAGGTGTTGCATTTGATCCTTTTGGGGGGGATGCCAAGGATGTTCGAGTGTTGCTGACGTGTCCGTGTTGGCATCCTTGCATGCGCTCGTAGAAACGTTAACCAACACCAAAGGTTCCCCATTTGAACTGTATGCCCCATGCGGGCAGTTGCGTGTTTTTGGGAATGCTTTGTTGTTTGGTTGCAGTCACCAACCTCTGAAGCACCAATCCAAGCCTCCAATTGGAGGAAATCTGATTTGCGTGCGAGTGCCTTGCTTGCTCGCTTTCAACGGTGCTTCCTACGAAAGGGCACCACATTTCCGGCTGATTTAGGAAGGCCAAGACACCACGCAAGAGGGGTCCCCCTTCCGGAGACACCCCACCTTTTCGTCCCGCCGAAACTGCACAGAGTTGCCCCATCCCGCCGGTGCTTCATTCCTTAAAACAAACCTTGGTTGTCAGGGCAAAGAGACACACGCGTTCGGAAACGTGAAGTCTGTGGTGTAGTTTTGGGTTTCGGGTCATAGGGAACAGCTCACTGAATTTCAACTTCCAAATGGGAAGAAACCCCAGCTGTCCCATGGGATGAGGCAAATTTGCCGCGAAGGTGTCTACCCCAAAAAAAACAGCCCACAGGGTTTCAGCCACTGTGGTATACTCACTTTCCTGGCCAATCCACTCAGGTGAGTATATGAAGTACAGTCAACAATTCTTCTGTTGAGTTTAGTATTCGGTGTTTCATTGATGTTGGGTCCGCCTTTTTTAAGGGCACCCCTTCAAAACGACGGTGTTCCTTTTGGTTTCCCTTCCGAAGCCCGCATACAAAGACAGACACATATACTAAGGGGTATACGCCCAGTGTTTTAAACGAGTAGTGGTGTGGAAATTTTCGGCCAGGTACTCGGGTCAGGCCCCAGAGAAGCCCCCCCAGGCGGGTGGGTTGAGGGGAAGACATAGTGGATGGTTGCGAAATCCGAAGACGGCACCGCGAAATAGCTGTGGGTCACAAATATGTACCCAAAATGGAACCCTGGTGAGTGGAAACATGGACCAAAACCTGCTGTCCTCTGGTGGTTTCATTTTGACCCATACCCAAATGAAACCATGGTGGATACCGCGACATTTGTTGGTATTTACCTTGTGGAATCGAATCATTCCAGCGTTTCTGAATGGTGCGAAATGGATCTCGTTCTTAGGCTGGAAGTACCACATTTTGGGCGGTCCCTTGAGACAACCCCAAGGAAGCACTGACTGGAAAAGGGAGGGATGGTTTTGGTAGGGAAGGTTTGGGGATGACTTGCTGGTTCCCTTTGGGCTTCCAGACATGTCGTCTTTTGTGTGGGTTCCAGGCGAACAGGCAGCCAGGCAATGTCAACATAGAATCAGTGACCAACTAAGGGTTACCTGAAAATATTTGGGCCAATATTAGGTCAACGAAAAAGCGTGGAGGACGTTCAGGGGTAAGGAGAAGCCGAGCCGAGGATTTTTCTCCTCGGACCGGCTCCAACTCCGCCGCTCCGCGAGTCCTTGAGGTGCGGGACCTGGCGCAGGAGATCGCAGGCGCCCCGGAGCTGGGCCGTGATCAGCTCAGGGCCCGAGGCCTCGGTCCGTCGGGCGGAGCCGTTGGGCTGAGCCGAGGACTGGCCTCACTTCATTTTACCATTAGGGGGTGGGTTAAAGGGAAGCCCCATCTTCTAACTTTGACCCCCATAAACCGTCAAATTCGTGATTCAAGAAGGAAGGCCTCAGGAAAAGTCTCCTTTTTGAACCGAAACCAAAAGGAAACCACTTGTGTGTGTGTGTGGGGTTGTCACCTATGTTGAGCCAAACCCAATTCTAACAAACTCCGAAGGCAATGGGGGGGGGGGGTAAATGTGGAAAAAAAGAAGCCATGACTTACTGAATTTTGGGGAACGTCTTTGAAAAAAGTCGTTGGGTCGATTTTGAGGAACACCTACACGAAAACCAACACTTTTGGGGGTATCCCAATTGTGAGGCGAAGTCAAATGAAATTCACTGGATGGACGAACTCCTTGTGGAGTAGCTCCAATGAAAAGGACAAACCTACCACTGACTGCATGGTCTTATTCATCAGTCGCTCAGTGGACCCCCTAAGGTGAAATAGCCGAAAGGTCCAGCAAAAGGCCTAATTTGTGTCCCTGGAGCTACGCAAAGGCAGTGCTATGACCAGTGAGGGGATTTCCAGCTGCTTCCTTCAGCAACTTGACCGATGGCAAGTCTTTTGTGGGTCCTCAACTATGGAAGATACGCCGAAATTCTGGAATCACCAATTAGGAAGGTACAGTATTAGTAGCATGTGGGTTTATGAGCTGTTTTTTGTTGTGTACCCTCTGTGTGTTGGTGAAGGGAAACAAAAGAAAACAAGAATACAGGGAACGCTAAGGTCCGGGTCACTGAGACGTTTGTCGGGACTCAGGCTGTGGCCATCAAGATCCAGGGCATCGTGCAGAGTTGGCCCAGCCCTCGGACCTGGGACCTTTTGACCTTCGGAGGGCGCAAAGGGATGGGCTTCCCACGCGGCCATGTGGTTTCCCTCTAAGCCAGACCAACACGTGGTTGCTCAAAGAAGATTCCAATACTCATTTGGCTAGTCGAGGTCTGGTTGGTGGCTTTGGAGCAGGGCGCACACTTTGCAGTGAACCTTTTCCCACTGCTCTCGCGGGTTTTCCCTGCCAGCTCAGAACCGGTTTGCTCAAAGACCGTGTGGGATGGGAACTCGGTGCCACAAGGACATCGAAGAATAACTCGAATTGCAACAAGTAGCGGCCCGCAGTTTCCTGAATCCCTGAATCCCACTTCCCCAATTTCCGGGCTTAGTGCTTAAGGACAATTTGGCCATGGGTCAAAAGCCCGTACCCCAGTCAACATCCCAATCCCCACTAAAATGGACTAAAATGAGTGGTGCACCTACCCCAAAATGGTAGCCCATGCAACATGGGCTGAGGCTGGCGCGCAAGGGCTACACTTGTAACAGCTCGACGTCCCCGGAGGCGCCAGTGGTGGAGCCAAAGCGCGAAACACTACCCGAATGTTCCCTATAGATTCCTTTTTTGTGGTTTGAAACATGGGTGTGGGTCAAAATTAAACCATCAGGGGACCACAGGTGTTGGTCCATGTTGCCACTTACCAGGGTTCCATTTTGGGTACCTATTCTTGCGTTTTGTCTCAAAATTGGCAGTAGGGGTACCCCCAAAATGGGTAGTTTCCTGTTGGTTTCGCTTTAAACCTACCCCGAAAGAAATAGCCTCAAAAACGACGCCCGCATCACCTTCTGTTTGCCAATATCTTGGGGTGACTGTTCAAGGAAAAACATGTTGGGACCCCAAGCAAAACCAGCCCTTTGGCTTTCCTACGAAGGTGTTCCACACTTTTGATTAAGACTGGTCACCCATATTGCTTCTCTGCTGATTCAGCATAAACAGGAGGCCAAAGCCGCGTTTCTGTTTGTCGGGTTTCACATGTTAATCTGCAGGAGTGCAATTCGAACCCTCCGGCACCAAGCTAGTATTTTTTGGGGGCCAATCTCAGGGAGTGAGAATTAAACCGTTGTAAATATACTTGAGATTTCTCAAACCAAAAGCGCAGAGACCGAGTGACTGATTTCTCTAACCCCCCGCATAGTTACTTGATATTTCTCCCAAACCCCATCAGATTCCTCTAAATCCCCGCATGTTTTGGGGTCTATATCCAAATTTCCGCTGGTGTTGTGTTTGTCCTTTGGGCAGTCAGAATCAAGCAGTTACTTGATATTTCTCCCAAGCCCCATCAGATTTCTCTAAACCCCCGCATAGTTACTTGATATTTCTCCCAAACATCATCAGATTTCCAAAAAACATGACATGTTTTGGTTGTCTGTCGTGGTATATTCGAATTTCCGCCTGTGCGGCCGGAGGCCTGGGCCCAGATCTTCAAGCACCTGGTGGACGGGGTGCGGCTCAGCTTCCTCGGCCTCGAGGCTCGGTTTTGGACGGAAAAGAAAAGCCGTTGGCTCGCCGTTTTGGGTCAATCAACGCGGATTGTTTTAACAGTTTTGTTTGTTGGATCTGGAAACGAACGTCAAGGCCATTTGTCTTCTTTTATTTTTAGTTTGTTGGATCAGGATTTTTCGCCGGAAAATGTGCGTGTGTGTGTGCTTCCGGCACCCGAAACCGAACCAGCCGGAAGTGAACGGCGTTTTGCCCCAGACAGAAATGTGGCACCCATTGGGTTGGTTGGATCTGGAATTCCTTCGGGCACATGTGTGCGGTAGGGCACCCCTTTTGGGTTTAAGGGACACGAAGTCCTGCGCTAGCAAGGGAGTGAAATCAGCACCGATCAAGCTGAATGCGCCGTGCCGCGCGAGACTGCCCCTTCAAATGCGAGGGATCAGATTGAAGTTAGTCTGGTTTGGTATGACTTTGTGTGCTTCGGAATCTCCACAATATTGGAAATGCAAATTACCAAAATCATGGATTGTTAAAAGTACTTTAGGTTTTTCCCTGATATCGAATTGATGTTTGAGTTGTTTTGTAAATATTGGTTAAAACAATGGGACCGCCGCTTGCAAAATAGGCGTTTCCAAACGGAAGACCCCCCCCAACAGCTTGAGCCAGCCGCTGCGGGGACCCTGCCTTTTCGAGCCAGCTCTTGACTTCAGGTCCCAGGATGGTCTTCTTTGGCTTTGCCATGTGGGTGTGAACCTCTAACTACGTTGGAGTTAGCACCTTTTTGGCTTGTTTTGATATTCGATAGCGACGCCCAAGGGCGAGCGATGCACATGTTGAGGTCTCTATTTGCAGACACCCCATGTTTGGGCAACCTACAGGCAGTTTGCAACCTGAAGCTCGTCCCAGATTTCAGCTCGGTAATGTTTCATCATCGTGCACCGGGTCTGCTTCGCAACCCAAATATTCAAAGCCTCCCACCACCACCCTGCTGCGCCTGCTGGCTCCTATTCCCCCGCTCCAGGCGGCGATCTTTGGGGCCATGAAGGGCAGAGGACAGGTGCCCGTAGCCCAGCTCTCCGATGCGGGTTGCGTGTAACGGTACTTAAAAGATCCCCGAAATCAGGTGTTGGCATGGCAAAGTTTGCGGACAAAATAGGGGGGTTCTTTGGGTTTCTCTTAAGGCAACAATAAGAGGGATCTGCGTTATCAAAGGCTGTATACACGCTGGACAAATTCTGGCGATCTTAACAAGCTCGCCCAGGAACGTTGCTGGGGTGCCCTGAGGTCCAGTCCGGGAAGAGAAGTCGATTCCCTTGTCCAGCAATCTGAAGCTTCAGGCTTTGGGAAAGCCTCCAATTGAAGGCTATGGGTTTATGGACGAATGTGGGTGGGAATCTGGTGGCCGGAGGAACAAATGTTCAAAAAGGTCTCATGTACGAGCAACCGTGGTGTCTAAAGTGAAGCAACCATATTTGGCTAGTTTTCGGTGGACGGATGGCAAATGAGCACGAACCGATTAAGGGTTTACGTGTTTGCGAGATTCTATCATGATCTAACTCGTTTTGCTTTAAGTGGTGCTTCCATGAAGTGGGCGAGAGAGAGGAGTGGAAATCCATCCCTGACCATTATGTTTCCCTTCGTGCGGAGGGCGAGGCTTTGTCTTCCATCCCCCCACATATATACTTCCCTTCGGTCAAGTGTTTGATCACGCGAACAGCAGACACGGAATGGCGGTCGAAGGCCGGCGGGGCTGGGTGTTCCAACCTTGGAGCCCAAGCGCGCAGTCGTTTGGAATCGGATTCATCTCCAGCTGACACTTTTGAGGGACTCCCTGCTTAAATTCATAGCAACTTCAGTTTGGTCCTAAGCATTTGCCATATACGTTGGTTTGTAGCATACAGGGTCTAAGGAGAAAGGGCAAACCCGGAAGCATAGCTTCTGTATTGTAAGCCAAAAGTTGTTTCACTTGGTTACTTACTGCAACCTTTTGAGCCGTTTCCTTTAACCCCCAACAAGGATTCTCTCAAAACGACACACCCACATGCTACGGGCTCACCGGGTAAGAGATGAGGTCGGAAGCCGAGCTCATGGCGCTGTGGCGGATCCTGGACGCTCGGGGGCTCAGTGCGGTTTGTTTGGTGACCCGAAACTTGCGGTCGGTGCGAGAAGTAACTTTTTGGCATCTTGCCTGCATGGTAGAACTTTAACTTTTCCCCTCTTGCAGCGGCAAGAAACGCAGCTTACCCTTTACACAGCTTACGATTGAACCGCCTTGACCTCAATTGGGCGCGCCTAAGAACAATGCAGCGCTAGCTAGCTTGCCAGGCCTGACCTCCATGCAGAAAACACAATTGAATGGGTGACCTCAAAAGCAGTCCTGCCTACTGCGAGATCCATCAACGCCTCTAAGAGATGTTAGGGTAGGAAGCGCTTTCCAAACCCAGTGTCTTCAAGGTGTAAAAAAAGGTGAAAAGTAAACGCAAAAAATCGTAAATGTTTCAGAAGTCGTATTGAAATCGTAAATACGAATCGTAAAAAAACACGTAACAAAACCATTTAACCAAAAAAGAAAAAACAAAAAAAAACACCAGTTAGGCTAACAGCGTAGGTCACAATAATAGGTTTTCCATTAAACCACTAAAAGTTGAACTTTTTGCCAAGCAACCGAGAGTAGGGAATGAGAAGTCCGGGTGTTGGGAATGAACCATCTTGGGATTCCCGAATGATGGAATCCGCGAGCTTGATTTTATAGGGTGCATTCCCTCATTCCCTGCTAAGGTCCAGCAAGCTTTGTTCCTTCTTTTTGGAGGGGTTTCCCTTTTGAAGCCACTTACCAAACTTAAAAAGAGAGCCCCTTTTCCCATGGCCACTGGGGCTCTGGGGCCAAGTCAAGGTGAGTAGTTGGGATTCTGCTAAAGCGCCGAGCCAAAGGTGTGTCTTCTTATGAGTTGGACGCCTTACCAGACTGTTTCATTTTTTTCCGACAAAAGTTTGGTGGGTGTTTTTCCCCAACTGGAGATCTGGGCCTTTCAGTTTGAAGGGCAAATGTGTTTGAGGGGAAACCGATGCTGGGCTCTTGGGTCAGGGACCCAAGGATGTGAGCAACATTTTGGATTCCGTTTTCAACGATGACGCATACTTAGGTGTCCCTTAGCTGCGTAGTTGGTGGTTTGGATTGCTCCGGTTTGAAGATTACCTCTGGTTCTTGCAGTCACTCATAGTCAGTTCTTTTTGGGATCCAAAGGCTGGCTTTGGCTCTGAATCGGTTGACTGGGAACCCTGTTGGCGAGTCTCGCCGCTCGAGCTGCGAGGTGGACAGAAGCGGCGAGGTACGGGAAGCTGAGCCCGCGCCCGAGTTCAAGCTGAGGTACCCTTTGAACGGGGTGCTTGAGTCTTAACTTGGTGGCTCCCAGTCATCCCCTTAGCCTTTTAGCCTTTTAGTGTTTAGTGGTAGTTTCCATTTCACCCACTAAAAGTTAAACTTTTAGCGGGGGATCTGAGGGCAGCCCAGGGTTTGCTTGTTAGTTTGGTACTTTGCATTATGTGGTTTGCTTGTTTGTTAGCCTTAGTGGCTTGCTGGCTGTTTTATGTTTGCATTTGTTGTATGGGCGCCAATGTACTTCCTGCAAAGGTACCAAGGACCCTTGGGGAGGTGCAAGCCACGAATGAGGTTTGCTACCAGCCTGTACCGTCTGCAGACGGAAACCTGGCCAAGGCGTGCAAGTGTTGGCGGGTGAGCCAATTCGCGCTGAGATGTGGGTTTGGGTGGGTTTAGGGTGCGTTTGGGATGTGGGGTTGAGGTGAGCTGGCGGGAATTTTCCCGGTTCCAACCCTTCTGACGGCTGTTAAGGGGGTAAAGTGGTTTCCGAGAGGGCACTTGGATGTACTTCGACTCTTAGGTTTAGTTGTTTTATTGGGTCAACGTGACACTTGGTAACATGTCACGATTGCCAAACAACATCATGGTAGAAGCTATGTGAAGCCTTTGTTTAGCTTTCGGAAAAAGTCCAATCTAAAGCGAGTTCGCTTTAGGTTGTGCCGCTCGGGGGAGATATAGGACTCTGGAAACTACTTCCGACTCCAACTGGGGAATGTCACTTCCCCCTAGCAATTCTAGGCAACCCTCAGTTGAGCAATGACCAACATTGCAGACCCAGCTGTTTTGCTTCGGGAAGGTTGCCACACACCTCGTCTCCCAACAGGCGTGACTCCCAACGGCTGCGAGTCCCTTCCAGTCAAAACAACCCCCAGCAGGGTGCTCCCCAAAACGACACTCAAGTCCCTGTGCCGGAATGTTTGCAGCATGGATTTTGAGGGGTTGAGCGCAGAAATAATATATATATATATATCTATGGCCGTGAACATTCCTGCGTTGTAGTGGTGCGGTATATGCCTCCACACTTCCACAACTCATGCTTGAAAGCGTGTTGACCGTGTTTTGGAAGGTCGAGAGGAAAAGTTTGTGCTCCCTTACTCAGCTGCAGCTTGGTAGCTTGGTCGGAGCTTTAGCCTTCAGCAAAATTGGTTTCAAGGCAAAACCACATATGAACCCACCATTCGCCATTTTTGGGCCGGCGTAGAATTTTAAGCATGGGAAGACAACATGCACCCATGGAGGGTGCTGGTATGTTTGGAAACGTCCAACTAGAGGGTTGACAGTTTGTTTGGTTGTTTCAGCCGAGTTTTTGTGCAGCCAGGCTCTCGAATAACAACATCGAGCGGCTGATTGAGATCCTCAATGCCCATAGCTTAGATCAGACAACCTCCAACCCAGTGTGCTTCCTTGTTGTCCTCTGGGCTGGTATCCTTTCAAGCGCAACCAGCAACATTTTTTCTCGGATGGCGACTGGGATTCTGAGCCAATGTGGCTATGAAGTTTAATTGGGAAAGCCCGCACAACAGAGCCTGTTCGATCCTTTTCGGTTTGTGGATCCACTGCCCTGGGCCTCCATGCTCTGAACCAGCCTCATTTTGTTCAGTGGTTGGTGGACACAAATGCCAATGTAAATGAGGTCCTCCACAACCCAAGTAATACTTGAACAAATCGTTGTGGGATTTCTCATTTTCAGAGATCTTAAGCAGGACTCTGCTTGCTTGCTTTGCTTGCTTTGCAAGCTTTGCTTGCTTTGCTTGCTTTGCTTGCTTTGCTTGCTTTGCTTGCCTTGCTTGCCTTGCTTGCCTTGCTTGGCTTCATCCAGGCCAAACGGGTCGCGTCTCATGATTTCCTCCAATGTCCCTGAACTGATTTTTGCCTATGGGCTGTTTTTGTTGAATGTCCAAGTTTCTTCCAAGGCGGGGTCCGTTGGCTTCTGTTGGCAATCATGCAGGGGTTCCGTTCCCGTTGATCAATGTTGCGCCCCTATCTGGAGTTCGAGCTAACGGGTTTATCATGAGCTCACGGGTTTACCGTTCCCTCCATGGAACTATCTTCAAGAGGACGTTTATTGATCTTCCAGGCGCCCTTAGTCGTTCGTGCGCGCAACACGTGCAAATAGGTGCGGCTTACCAGTGGTTTGATTCTTTGTCATTGGCTAGAATGCCAAACCCAGTCAGACAGCCGACCACCAGGGCTCAGGTTCATGTTGGACCAACGGGAAGCCAGGAGGCAAACCCCTCCAGAGTCGCCCCATTTTTGGGAATCGGGGTGGGTGCTGCAAAGCAAAGTTCCACCATGATGTTCAGAGGAGAATGTGCGTATTGGTTTAGCCCCTTGAATTATCCCAGTTGATATTGAGGGGTAAGCCTAGATTGACAAAAGTTGGTTTCAAAGTACGCCAGGCCAGTAGAGTATATCCATATGACTGAGGCTGCAGCGCAGAAGTGGCACCGAGCCAGCGGGAACTGGTACAAGATCCTCACCATTTGCGATGAGGTCAGCCCACAGGTGCTTTCTGTCTTTCTGCATTTCTGCATTGATGTATGTGTGTCTTTATTCATATTATTTGTTGTTTGGTTCTTTCTTTAGGATTTGATTTGTGAGGACACACATTTTTGTTTGCCGAAGTATGTATCAGCCTCTTGCCATCGCTTCGCAGACCGGGGGGAGGTTCTGCGAGAAGCAGCGGTCACTATTCACCCACATCAATCAAGTCTTTCAAGGGACAAATTTAACGCCACAACGACAGGGGTCCTTGGTCCCTTTTTGGGCGCTTAGACAAATGTCACCTAAACTGAGTTTCCCGAATTGGCGATGTTCAGCGGCGAAATGCATGAGGATCTCACCCAAAGTGTATCCAGCTCCTGCCTTGGAACCCTCCCGAAGAAAAGTCAGAGGGTTGGCTGCTGTTGGGGGAAAAGCGTGGGTGCCCCTTAAAACCAGGTAGCAGAAGTAAGTTGCCTTACACGGGTGAAAGTAGATGGCACAATTTCCGGCAGATGTGAGCATATAAAGGGGTGCAAAAACAGAATGGGTTGGAATTGTTGCAACTCACCCAATTGCATCTCTCAACGGCAGGATCAATGCCAAGATCGCTGAGTATCATACAATCCCAGACCTCAGGAGGTGCCGTTCCTTTTCCCCCCTCCTTTTTTGAGATCTGTTATCCTATGGAGGGACCTGGTCCAGGTTGTTGTGATGTGGGTCCAGGTTAAAATTAAACCACCAGGGGACCAAAGGTTTTAGTCCTTGGTTCCATTTACCAGGGCAATTTAGGGTACCTATGTTTGACCCAAACCAAATAATGGTTTCCTGGAATGATTATTTTCCTGTAGATACCCACAAATAATGGTTTCCCATGGTTCCCAAGTGGTGCGAACGGATTTCGTCCAGCCGCAGCAAAAAAGGCTTCGGACGCAGATTTTGTTGGATGTCGCAGGAGGACTCCGGGCGCCTGAACTTCGACGAGTTCTGCAAGGCATCGCGGCCGCGAGAGCAAGCGGCGACACGTTGGAAGCCACGGAGCCTCCCGAAGGTCCCTGGCCTCGGTGCAATTTTTGGTAATCTTGACCCAGGATTAATAAATCCGTCCCATTTATGGGGGGGTGTTCCCTCCAAAAGTGATGAATCCCCACTAAAAGCGGACCCCCCTATTGATGAACCCAGGGGTTTACTAATCCGGGGTTAACATTACCGTAAACAAGTGGCGAAAGAAGCACTTTAGACTGGTTGGCCAAATCGCCACGGTTGGTCTAACCCAAGGTTTCGACCAGTTTGAACACTCAGGCAGCCCCCTGTAAAGGGGGGCCACTAAACAATTTATGTCCAACCATCAGAGGGGACCAGTGAAACGTGCCATTTCCCGGCTTTAGAGGATCCGCTTGCAAGGCAGGTGATTTTATGAGATGATTTCAGGAACCCTGATTGGTCCAAAGGTCCATGTCTTGACTGCTATTGGGTTGGATCTTTAGAATTTAACTTGTTGGGAAATCAAGGGGTTTTCCACTAAACCCACGAAAAGTTAAACTTTTTGCAGGGGGGTCAACAGAAGCCAAGATGTTGGACCAGAAAGGTGGCCTTGATTCGCTCTCTTTGGACCAGGGTCAAACAATGATATTCCTTGAACAACACTGCGAAGCTGTGGGGTGAGCTAGAAAAACCGGCATGTTGCAGGCGACGAGTGAAGCAAGCCAAAACCAAGCCATAGACTATGAAATGTTATAGGTATAGCACAACCTTGCTCTCCCCATACTCGATTGGTCATGGGTTTCTTGCAACATTCCCTTTCGACGGCCAGCCTGAGACAACAATCGGGTGTTTGGCTACAAGAATTCATCTCTGAAGGATCAGTTGGTCAACATCGAGGTAATGCGGTTTAGAAGGGCTGAACCAAATGGATGCACTAAACCCGGGAACCAACTTGATGGTTAAGCCCGCGAAGGGAACTTATCGGTTCGGTGTCAGCCAGGTGGTGCGAAAAGGCTTCCCTGGTCTTTCCATAGGCGCCGCGCCCAGCTGAAGAGACCGGTTTGGTCAAAAACAATCCGGAGATTACTGTGGATGGACAAAATCCACTTTGCACCAGTCGGGGTGCTCTGCCAGTATTCATAGTGCTTCATCCATCCCACTGCTGCGAAGTGGGCTTGGCCCAGCAGAGAATGTCAGACGGTGGTTGCTTTACGGCAATAGGATGCCTGAGGGCCCATAGATATCCAAGTCGTGCAAATGTGATCGTTTATGCTGTCGAGTGTGTCTTTCCTAAACCGAGTTCGACTTGCTTGCCTTCGCAAAACTGTCTCGAATTCGGGGTTGTTCAAGGTATCCAAAGAGAGGTTCGAAAGAGCTTCTGCCATGATTCCCTGTTTGAAACTGCCAAATTGCGGGGGGGGGGGGGGGAGGTTCAGTGGCACTCTTTTCCAAGCCTGTTTGGTTTAGTGGCATCGCCACAAATGGTCACCCCAAAAGGGAATTCCTTTTTTCGGGTTGGACTGAGCTTATCTGGGCTCACGAGGTGTCGCTGAGATCTCCGAGGATGAGCTTCGCCAGCGGCCGAGATAGAGAGCTGGCACACGGCTTTGGCCGGACCTCCTCCTTCTGGGCCCTTTTTCCTTGGATTTGCAACCAGGGTGTGTCGATCTATATGTGTCTATGTTTTTTTTCTTGGGAAAATGATCGAGTGTGGTTTGGGGCTGATAGAACAAAGCACCTGGCGATGATGGGATGTATCTCACCAACCCTGTGATGGGATCTCACTTCCCCTGTGCTTGGGCAGACCGTTTGTCCAATGTCGGACGTGCTCTCGAGGTGGGATGTGGCGCTCTATGGACAGCGACCAGTCAGGCGCTTGCTTGCGATGGCTTGAATGCTTCGCTGCAAATTCTAAAAAAGAGACCCTAAGAACAAAGGGTTCATCTCAAATGGATGTTTACCCTCCCTCCCACTAACATGGCAGCTGACACAGGGTACCCCCAAGAGTAAAGTCATTTTCCGGGTACCCTCCCACAGGTGCGTTTGTTGGAGTGAGGGTAAGTTTGGGTTCCGGTGCGTCTTGTTGTTTACCATTTGGTGTTTTCTTGAACTAAAGGAGCAACAATTCGGAAGACGCAGCCATGTTAGCGTCCCACGGGAGAGCAGGCATAGGCATCCAGCAGTCGAGTTTTTTTTGGGACCCCAAGAGCGGTGGTGTTTTTCCTCGTGGGAATATTTGTGTAGCTCTCGACCACGAACCGATCGAAGTGCTATAAGTGCTCAATTTACGTGCAAATTAGCGATATTGTATGCGGATAAATAAATAGTCAATCTGTAGAACGCAAGACAACACCTACAAACATATAATGTGATTAGCCATGGTTTATATCATCATCAGGGACGTCGCGTTAGTGACCGACCTGTGGTGTTTTGGCTCAAGTTTTGGGTTCCGTCGCGCCTCGAATGGGCGTCGCCGAACCCCTGCGTCGACCGACGGCATCTCGGGGGAGAAAGAGACCTCGGGCCGCCGCCAGGTTGGTAGGGACCAGTCGTGCGGCCTGTTGTCGACCAAGGTTGCGGGTTAACCCTTTTCTTGTTTGGTTTGTTTTCCTTTGGTTGTTGTTCTCTGGTGTGTGGGAAACCCTGATCTTTGGGACCGGGGATTGGTTTGCTTTTGGGGAACCTTTCTTTTGTGGCTTGTTTACCCCAACTTACCCATTGCCTGGGCACAGGCTCGTGCCCGAATCACAGGTTATCAGCCGTAGGACTTTCCTACGCGCTTGAGACCATCAACTACAAGCTCTATGTCGACCCCACGATCTCGTAGGAGTGTCGTGGATGAGGAGGCCATCCTTGATGGCCTCCGCTCAGGTGAGGACCTACCGGACTATGACTACGAGGATTTCGAAGCAGGTTCGACAGGTCAGGACCGCAGGGGTGAAGATCCCGGTAGGGATACACCCAGGAGCCGTGGCAGGTACGCCGACGATGGAGACGATCGTATTTTCCGCCAGGCCACTGATGACGAGCAGCAGCAGCGAAGGGTTTACTCCGATAGGAGTGGCTCTGAATCAGGTCACAGGCGTGGACATTTTGACTTCATCAGCATGGCGATGGACATGGCCCGCCCTCATTCGGATGACCCGGAGGCCATGCCGATTCGACCTCCGAGATCTCTTGTTCCAGGTGAGTCGCAGGTCTCAGACGAGTTTGAGAGTAGGCCGCAGGGACCAGGGACTATGGTTCTGGTTCCGGGAGGTATCCCGGGCCGGCCCACTGGTTCTCAGAATCCAGGTCAGTTTGATGAACACGAGGAGCGGAAGTTCTCAGGTTTCGGATACGATGATCTGTTGAAATCTACCGCAGGTTGGGGCAGTAGCTCAAAGCAGGGATCTGATGCCGGTAGGCCCAACCCTAATACTGCCAAATCTGAGTCTTATGATGGCGAAGGTTACAATTTTGCGGATGAGGAGGAGAGCCGTTCACGCCGAGATGCAGGCAGCCGTGCGACTGAAAGGATTAGTCCCGCCACTGCCAGTTTTGAGGCCGATGACGATGACGAGTATGCCGCGTTTGCGGATCGCCGTGATGAGGAGGAGGACCAATCACGACGAAATGCTTGGATCCGTGATGCTGCGAGGCCCAGGAGCCTCTCTCGTGGAGCCGCCAGGGACCTTCGCGTTGACAGGGATGCCCGAAGCGAGAGAGAGAAAGCCAGGGACAGTCGGGAAGTTCTTCGCGGATTGGAGGCTATCCATGACCGTGAGGGACCGGTAGGTCCCCCGGAAATTGGTGATACCCCGAATGTTCCCCCTTTTCCTAACATCACCTTTGGAGGTCCGTTGAATCAAAGAGACGTGAACTCGAACCGGGTTACTGGTTCGCCGAGGATCACTGAGCGGGCTGCCGATGTCGTTAGGACAGGTGCCAGAGATGGTCGGCTTGCCGATGCGCTCGGAACGAGGATCGTCCGTCGATCGCGAGCCCGTTAGGGCGAGATATCAGTGACCTTGAAACACTAAGATCCAGCAACGAGTTCACACCTCAATGGGGCTCGACCGCCAGGGAACGTAGTGCTTCTGCGAAGAGACCGTCACCCCTGGCCATTGAGACCGATAGGTCGAAGGCGAGGAGGGCTAGCCCCTCACCAATGGACTCAACTCCGCAGGATGAGGAGATGCCTGATCCTGCTGATGTTCACATCCACTCTACTCCCGAGTCTCGTGCATCCCATGTTGATCCCCGTTCCGGCGATAGCCGTAGAAGAGGGTCTAACCCTAGCAGGCCATCTGGGATTGGTGATAGTCCTGTGGATGACCCCAGGAGTTATGCTAGGGCTAGTGGGGCTCCTGAGAGGATCGAGATATCGACTCCTCCAGCACTCAGGTCTCTTTCTTCCGGTGAATCAGGTGACGCTAGGGCGAAGGAGGTATTCGATATGCACATCCAAGAGATGCTCGAGAGGGGTGAGGTTTCTGGCTCAGTCGCGAAGGCGTTCCACATCTTTGCTGACCAAATCAGGGTACTGAACGGTCAGGTGAGTTCCATGCGAAGGGAATGGAGCGACGAGAGTCAGCGGACGAAGGACAAGGTCGATCGCCTGGCTGCCGAGGTTGCGACTCAGTCTGATGCCGGGAGGATGAAAATGATAGTTCAGCGATTTGCAAGGGAAGTTATTCCTGACAGCAAGGCCATTGTGAGGCAAGCCATCGATGAGCAAGCCGAGGTCGTGGAACAGAGGATTAACCTATTGTCCCACGAGGTCCATGAATCTGTCAAGGACAATGAGGCATCAACTGATCGGCTTCGTCAGATGATTCATGAAAGTCGTCAGGCAGTCCACAGGAGCCATGCTGCTTCCGAGGACGAGATCCTTAAGGACTTGGACAAGCTTGGGAAACGGGTGTTCTCGATAGAGAAAACCGTCGGAATGCGGACACAAGCAGGTGTCTGGGACCCAAATCCTGTCGCGCATCTGCCCGATAGGGCCAGCGGCAGCATGGTGGACGCGAATTTCAGAGAGTTAAACCTGAAAATCGAGAAAGCTCTCCTTGAGCACGAGACATTTGCCAAGTGGGCCTCTGAATCTATTAAAGAGATCAATGAAGAACACACTCGTCTTGCTACTCGGGTGTCGAGGCTGCAGGGTGGAAGGGGATCTCAGGAGGTCGATAGACCATCAGAACGTGATTCCCCACAGGACTGGCATGAGGCTATTGACGAGGTCAATCGGAAAATGCAGGATCTGGCTCGAGGAATTCAACGTCAACGTCGGGATCATGACAACGTCATTTCTAGGTTCGAGACCGTGAGGTCACACGTTGAACAGTATGAAGCGAGGTCGGCGATTGTGAATCGGGTCGTTGATAACATTCAAGGACAGATCCGCAATCTTCCTGCCAGCAGTGACCAAGTGCAGCCTGCCGTTAGGCGTGAGCTCGGCACATTTCGGAGCTCACTTGAAGGTGTTATGCGGAGGGTCAGTGCTATCGATAGTAGCGTGCGTAATCTTGGCGCAGCACACAACAGAATCATGGCTCAGCTCTTTGAAATGGAGGGTCAATTTGATGAGGCTGCTGGCATGATTCAGGGTGTACAGCAGATCAATGAGGCTCCACAACAACCCAGGGATAGACGAAATGTTGGTTACAATGCGTTTGCCTCTGACACCCACACCTGGGGAAGGTGACGGCCGGGGTACTGGCCGTCCGGTGAGACCAGACGGAGGCGCTGTTTTACCTGATCATGTGTCGCCGAATGTGCCCGGTAGGGTCGATCCTTCTCGCGCAGACAGGCATCCCATCTATCCCGGTAGGGAAAGGTCCGACAGCAGGAGCAGGAGGGTTCGGGGGTTGCCTGATAGGTCACATTCGCCACCGGGGCGTGCGAGGGGTGATCCCCGCGCGCGCGCAAGGGGGAACGTTTCTATTTCCCCCAATAGGGATGCGGGTAGGAATAGGAGCCCGAGGCCTGCTGCCGTCCCCGATAGGGGATCTGAGGTCCGGAGTCGACAACCGAGGGGGGAGAGGCCGATCCGCGATAGCGGGAGCGTCTCTCCGAATTTTGATAGGCCAATCCGCGATAGCGGGGATGTCTCTCCGAACCCAGGTCGTCATTCAGGAGCTGGTGGTGATAATAGGGTCCATGCCGACATCCAGAGTCCTGGTGATGAGTGGAGGACACCTGGGAGTAGAGCCAGCGACACTCGGAGTCCCGGCGATAGGCGAGGGGCTGCTGGAGCTCCTTCGGATCGTGGACAGGCCTCAGCACCGGCTGCAAGAGGGGCTCCCGGCGGTGATGGCCCAGACGTGCCAAAGATTTGTGCCCTCGATGATCCCAATGACCGTAAGCACCCAAATGCTGAATTCTCGTGTGTGACATGCAGTCGTGAGTTCTGCGGGCTTTGCCGTGGTGACGACGGGGACTGTTGCAATTGCCAGTTCTTGAAAATGAAATGCTGGGCATGTCGCAAGAATGCTCTGGAGGTCTCCATGTATTTCTGCACGGATTGTGGGACTCATGTCTGTGAGAATCACAGTTACTTTGGAAGTGACGGCCATGAGCGGTGTGCGCGCTGCAATATTCGGCAT